AATGGTTGAAGTGCCTGACAAGTAATTTAAACAAAACCATTATTCAGTCAGCAAAATACCAGAATGTGAATATTTAAATAGAAAAATAAATTTGCTCTTCTATTTTTTAATGTTCAGTATACCAGGTTAGAGTTTACTGCCATGCCAGCTCTTACTGCAAATTCAGTGACTCTAGATGAAATTCTTGTGGTCCGTGCTGGTCCCCTACGTGAAGAAGAGCTGTGGGCATTGCTTTCCCAGTCTAGTGCAGCATTACAAGATGTGTTCATCAAAGGTAAACTGTGATGTTTTTTCTTTAAAGATGTTCTTGAGCAGTGTTCTGCAGAAAAACCAGCAGCCATTTTTATCCCAGTCTTCTAGTTTTTGAAGGGCTTGTACTTAACCAGGACAAAATGGTGTAATGTATCTTTCTTGATTTGAAGTAAATTGTTTTCTTTGCTCTATTTTGATTTATGTATGCAAAAAGTTTGTTTAAAAACTACTAAGAAGGCAATACGGTTCTGCTCAGATTATGTTAACTGTGCAAACTGTTTAAGTATAACTAAGGGGAAAAGTTGCAGTGGAACAGATGCTTCTGCCCTTTGAGAACTCACTTGTTTTCTGCCCCTAACTGTTTTTTTCTTTGCCTGGATAATAAAATCTTTGGAAAACTCTGACCCATGTTTCTCTCAAAAAAAGCTTCAGACTGAATCTATTTTCCTTGCTTTGAATCATTAGTGCATAACTCCCAGTGACTCGTGTTCCCTGTAACTCAACCTCCTGGAAACTCAAAACTGTTTCAATTTCCTCAGAAGTTTTCAGTCACAAGGTGTTGATGGTATTAATGAGTATAGGTATTTAAATTTTTCCATGAAGGTTTTAGTGGTGATGGCCATTTACACAGTGGTCATGTTTACACTCTTCAGGAATCTTGCCCACACTCAGTTGTTATTGATGAGTTAAAACTGGATTGCTGAATTTGTTTAACCTACAGGTAAAGCAAGAAGGAAAGGCCTTCTAACCTATACAATCACACCTGAAAGTTTACTTCTCTGTCATAATGGCAAAGTCAAGTTTTCACTACACACAGGTAATCTTCAAACCATTCAGAGCTGTTCAAGAACTATTTAGGTCTTTCAAGAAATGTTCTAGTTTAGGTTGCAGACTTTAGAAACACAAAACAAGGGACTTTTTGCACAATCAATTTTTTGAAGTAGAAATAATGTTTTTCAATATACATATAGTACTGTAAATAATGGTTGACTGTGATTCATGTTTCAGTTTCATCAAAGAATCGCTCATATACAGCACCAGAAATGTACTCAAAACATGACAAACCTTTGGGAAGTGAGGGAACTCTGGAAAAGGTATAAGTCAGAGTGAATAAAATTCTTGAGAGTACACTGTAGTTATGTGACTAGATTTTTTTTGTTCAAGGTTTCCTTTTGACTCCTTCGATAGGATTTGCCACTGTAGTTTAATTTTATGATGAGTTGATACATGTAGGTTCCCCAATCAAAAAATTACTTTACTAAAGTAGATTACTGGTTTAATTTTTTAAATTGTTATTGTTAACAGATCTGTATTTATTCTCTGGGAATGACACTGTATCATGCAGCTGAGTATGAGATCCCAGTAGGAAAGGTGAGAAACAGTTGACCCTTTGATTCATAGAACTGATAAACCTGTAACCTCTCCCTACAATGCTAATACATTATCTAACAAATAGGTGATGAGAACAGAGAAACTCAACAGGAGGAGGGTATTATCCTTTTTTAACCAAAAAAAATCTCATTAGAACTGCGAGGCAGAGCTACATGTATGAATCAGATTATGGGAGTCAAAGAATTAACATAAATGTGTAGCAATCATCACAAGCTCCTGCATGATAGCTACATACTGACCCACTCAGTGCTTGATTGTTCAAAAAGGGTGTTTGAGTTGATCATGGAACAAAAAATAGCCTTTTTTACTTCACCACTCAAATGTACTTGTAGTTAAAGTAAAACTGATTTGAAATTTTTGTCAGATTAATTGCATATAACAAACAACTTTTTTTGTCCCTCAGATAAATTTCCTTTTAGTTCTCATCAGATGTTTTTGATTTTGTCTGCAGCCTGTGAATTTGAGTGAGACTTTAGAGAATGTTCTTCTCTCTATGTGTGAAGAGAGTTCTCACTTACGAATTTCTCTGGTGAAAGTTATGGAAGTAAGTGCATGATCTTGTTAGAGTTCTTTTGGTGTTACTTACAGTGTATGAAAATTAATGCTGCTGAATTTCCAAATGTTAAGAATTGAATTCCTCAAAAAATAATATTTTTTACTAATAATTAAAAATGATTTCCTATATTGACAGGTTTGTCATGCACATCGTAAAAGACGTCACTTTAATGACCTCATTGCATCCATGGTAGCAGCTGTTTTAGGTGATGAAGTACCTGACGTAAGAAGACTTTCTTCTATGTTCCCCATACCAAAACAAAACTGTGAATTAGGCTACATGAGATTATCCTTTAAGACTTTTGACTTTCTAGAGCTGCTGCATGCAGTAAAAGGAAAAAAAAAGCTGGAAGGTTCTTGATGGGCCCCATGGAATTTAAGGGAGCCCTATGTGAGGACCTAAGAATTATTTGTTCTTGAATATTTGTATGCTGGGTCCTAGAAGAACGGGGAAGAAAATAAACAAACAAACAGGGCTGACTGTTGATTGAAAATGATGGTAAAGGTTGATGCAGTGATTCATTTTTTGTTTTGCTTTGCTTTATTTTGTGATAACTTACAGTAGAAATTATGCAGAGATAAATGCTCAATGCAAAGTAAATATAATTTGCAGCTTGGCTGCATCATGGGTCCTGTAAGCAGTTTTTAGTACATCATTCTTTTTAAGCATGCCCCACATATTGCTGCTAAAAATTGAAGACCAATTAGGTGTTTGTAGGAGTAAAAGGTTCACATTTAATTCAATAATTATAATTTTATCTCTTGTAGAATGATGAAGAAGATCACAGTTCTGAGGAAGAAACAGTTCACATTAATCACTCTGAATTCTTGAATGGAGAGGTATAACTTTATTAGCTAAATTAAATGTCATTTTTAAATCAATTTTTGTACATGAGATCTAAAGTAGTAGTGGCTTAATGGTGAGTGCTCTGAACTCCTGACTCTGGATCAAAAGTCTTGGCCAAGGTATTTTTATTACTGATTCACAGTGCTTCCCCTCATCGTCAAAGAAATCTGATGAGATGCTGGAAGGAACTCTTTGCTGAACCATCATTCCATTCCAGTGCTTAAAGCTTCCACTTGCAAGGCCTTTCTTGTGTTGAGTTAAACACTGATATGATCAAGTATTCTATTTAATAAGACTGTTCTCTTCTTTCTCTGCTAATAAATCCTGTCCATTCTCAGAGTCCATCTCCAATTGGTGATGAAGTCAGTCCAAGAAGCCTACCATCACCTCCACCCTCAAGGATCAGCACAAGAGGCCAGTCAACTTCAGAAGAATTGGTGGGATCAAATTTCAGACGATCAGGCTCACCAACTGAATTAGCCCTGATACCTCACAAAAGGGAGGCTCGGATTCCTCATGTTCTTGGTGAGTCTTTCATTTATTATTTGCTCCTGTGGATGACACAGTAAGTAATAATTAGCATGCTAAATTTGCTAAATTATATCCAATTTTATTTACCATAGATAAATATAAGGACCACCTTGAGAGGGTTCGAAGAGAGCGAGGCCAACAATCTTCACCCAACAACCTCACAAACGGTTTCAACAGCATAGAGCAGTCACACCCAAGCTCATATGACCAATCAGAAGTTATATCTCCTGATCAGTCATGGTCCAGGTCACAGGATCAGTCGAGACCCAGTAGCTCAGCAGCATTCCAGAATGGAACATCTTGGAAGCATCTACCACAGTCAAGCTCAAAAACATTGGATCGGCAAGCAACAACTTATGATGAAGATGACCTTAGGGATGGATATTTCAAGGGACCTGCAAAAAGTCTTGATTCAGAAGTACAATTGCAATCAAAACCTGACTTAGTTCCTGCAGCCAGTGAGTTGTTTCACCATGCCTGTTCTACTTAAAGTGTGCCTTCAGATTGTTCTCACCAATGATCTTACAATCTGTTAGGGAACAGAAACATTAGTAACATTACTAATGCTTTCCCTGAATTTGTATTAGCTGTGTGTCTGAGATCAGTAAAACAATATTTCTTAGAAGGCAATAAAATGTGTTTGAAACATTTAAAGTAAACATTTCTTTCAATCTTGTTAAGTCATCCTTCCAACATGTGACAGCCTTAGAAACAAGTTTATTCTACTCACAAGGTTGCTGTAATAACACCCAGCCTGGAAGTATCAAAAAAAGATTTGTAAGTTGTTTTCTTCTCAATTTCCAGGAAGTTCTACATTGCATCGATATGACAGTGACACATCAATTACAGATGCATCTTCCATGGTGTCTGGGCCACGTTCGTCAGTGATGTCAGGGCGTTCATCAATGGTGTCAATCACACAGGGGAGCTATGCACCTGAGTCTTATATGACTGATGGTTATGAAAGTGAACCTTACCTCACCAGTATAGGAAGCTCAGCTTCAAGGGCTGCATTCAGGGATGGAAGAGATTCTCATACAATAAGGTTAGACATGCAGGGTTTTCACTAAGTTTTGAACCAGAGGTATGTTTATGAGAAGGAGGTAGTATTGGGAATCTTGTTCAACAGTCAATATTTATCAGTTTCTTGGCTGCATTAACTTATTGAGTAACTAGGAAGCCAGAAACTCTTTAGAGTTACTAACAAAGTACACATGCTGAGGCATGAGAAAGGGACAATCAGTGCATTGGCTTGGGATTACTTTAGATGGGAATAACTCTGCTTTGCCCCAGACTTCCTCTTTGTAAATTGCTGGTCAGGAAAAACCATTTCTCATCTTTCTGGAAATACTTTGGATTGATAAAGCTAATCATTGCTCTTCATTAGAACGCTCTAATGAGACTTCTTTACCAATTGCCATTTGTTTATTTCTTAGCAACCGTCCATATTCTTCAACAATGGACCTGAGGAAACAAGTCATGACGCAACAAAGCTTACCAGCTGGAACTGATGAAGTGGATCATAGGGGTAAGATGCCACAGCGTTTCCTCTCTGTTCCTGACATACATGTCAGTGGTGATGCTCCAAAAGACAAGAGAGCCACAAAAGGATCAAGAACCAAACTTGGGGTTAGTTCAAGTAATCATGACATAACACTCTGATTTTGTTTCTTTTGTTTCTGTTATGTTGTGAAAGATAACAATTACAAAAGATCCATTGCAGTGTCATAATGACATGCATTATATGTAGACCAACAGGAGAGTCTGAAGTGGTTGGATAAATGAAGGTTTAACATCAAATTTTCTAGTGATGCTAGTCATATTGCAGGTTCAAATGCATGTTAGTTTGAGATGAGTGCAATCTACTTTGAATTGTTAATCCTGAACAGAGGACAAGAATCAACAAACTATACTCACTTTTGCCCCTACTAAACTGTAATTTAAGATTGTTTTCAATTGAAAGCCTGACAGCACTTAGTTAATCTTTTACCAATGCTTTTCTCTTGATAGGATTTCTTTGGTCCTGAGTTTGTTCTGGTTGAGAAAGACCCCAACCTGTCAGTTGTGAATATCTCACCTGTAAGTTACATAAAAGTCAGTCTGAGTAAAACCTGTAAAGTAGAGTACCTAATAACCACGGTAATAACCAGTTTAAAATCAATTATCTATTTTGAGACCATAACAGTCAATGCAACAAGTCACTGCTACATGTACATGTCACTGTGACAAACTCCTTCATGTGCATGACTTTTAAAACAAGTTTATTCTACAAACATGTATTTCACCTTTGTGATGGTTGCACAAAATAAGACCAGTTTGAACTTGCAACTTATTGCAGAGAAAACATTTTGTGTCAGTGACATAGGTGCTCACAAAACTGCTGTTACGACAGTGTTCTCTATTTAATGTCCCTTTGGGTGTTCCATGCAGCATGTTGTTGGGTGAATTGTTCCTGGTTGCCTTAAATTTATTAATTTGTTACTATAATTTTATTTTTCTCACATATTCATGGTGATTAGAGGAAAGCAGGTTCTGTACCACATGGCAGACGATTAGTCACTGTGATTATGCTGAACAGACAAAAACTACAGATGATGATTGAGGTACTGTATTTTTTTGCTTTCTTCTTAAGTGCAACTTGTATCTCAATGCTGAAACTGTATTATCATGGCAACAAAGCTAATTTTCCCAAAACAAATTTAAATAAATGTGTGTGAATTATTCTTTCAGGTGACTTCCACCACTCAAGATTTGTTTGAACAAGTTATCAAATATTTGGGACTAACAGAGAAGTTCTTTTTTGGCCTGACTCAGCTAAAGGGTGAGAGAAAATTTCAGAATGTCTCTATTAAAAGACAGTTTGTTTATAGAGGAATAACAGTCTGGTGTGGTGTTGAAATGATAGTCACTGTCAGCGGTAATGCTGCATTTTCCATCACTGATACAATGCAAGTGCTTATTTGCCAAATATAATACATTCACACTGAACAAAATGCAGTTACATGGTATGACTTTCTACTAAAGTGTCCACTAATTTTTTCAGATGGTGAACACATCTTTTTAGACTTGGATGTGAAATTAGCCAAGTATGCTCCAGTAAAGTGGAAAGAAGAGGTAATACTTAATTTTTAAATGTCATTAATTTAAGTTTGCCACCTAACTAAACAATTGTTTTTTTCCCCATAGGGGAAGCAACCTGCAGAAAAGTTTCTCTTACACTTCAGAGTCAAATTTTATGTGGAAAGTGTTGCTCTCATTAGGTAATGTTTTGAACAACTCTCTACCTTGTATATTTTTTCTTGGTACCAGGCTAATATAATGACTTCTTCTAAAAGAGATGTAATGGGTTTCATTTTTAGTTGGCTGTCATGTATCAGATAAAGGCAGTTGTGAAAATTTACTTCCAAACCTTGGTCAATTGAATTTTCTCTTGAGCCTTTGCCTCCTTCCTTCCTTCCTTCCTTCCTTCCTTCTTTGTTTCTTTTTCTCTTTCTCTCTCTCTCTTTTTTTTCCATTCCCATTTTTTCCCATTTTTAACCTTGGAAGAGAAATATTTGTTGAATTTTGTATTATTTGAGTTCATTTCAATGATAGGTATCTTCTTTCCCACTTCAGTAATCCACAGACAACTCATCAGTTCTACCTACAACTCCGAGAAAACATTTTGACTGGCCATCTTTACTGTCATGAGGAGGCATCATTTACCCTTGGAGGACTTGCACTGCAAGCAGAGACAGGAGACTACAATGATGCACTTGGTGATGAATACTTTCTTGCAGAACATTACATTCCAAACAAGGTACAAGTTTGTCAATTTTGTGCTTTTTATATATGACTGGGCAAAGTGTGATTTGTGTAGCATATACTAGTGAGGGCAATTCTTACCTGAGGTTAAAAGTGATCTGGGTGTGCATTGGTTTTGCACCACTGCACTCTATGATTGGTTATGAAATTTTTTTGCAGCCTCCTGAACCAATCAAGTACAAATCTGAAACCAATCAAAGCTTGATCACTCATCTACTTTTTAGGGCATTTTCTGATTTGTTCTTGACGTTACACTTTTTTTTAGCTTTTATGACACTTGATGGAAAAGTGTGCTGTATGTGCTCCCTTGCTGATTTCTGCAATCATTATAACATGTCTTGAGTGCATTTTGATTGAGTGCCTTTAGAGGAGCCAATGAGAAGTCAAACACGAGCCTAAAATTAACCCTAAACAAAATCTTTAACTTCTCAGAGTTATACAAAGAGCTATTGATACTTTCTTCTGAATGTGCAAAACACTTTTTTCTGTTCTAGACGATAGAGAAAATTTCACTTGATCATGCTACAGAAGAGTTACCACGTTTCCACAAATCCTGTCATGGTTTGTCAGAAGAAGAGGCTGAGCTTGAATTCATAAAGGAAGCTCAGAAACTTCAGGAGTATGGAGTCCACTTCTACAAAGTACAAAGAAAAATTCCCAACACAGGAGGAGGAAAGGTAGAAAGTCTACTTGTGATAAGTGTGGTGTTGTTAGACAAGTGTATTTTCATCTGCAGCAATTTAAGGAACTGTTCAAAATTTAGTTTTTGAACAATCAAGAAATGAATCCTTCTTGAAACAGTTAAATTAGTGATTACCCTGTAACAACAAACTGCACTTACATCTTCAAATGTGACAACTTGTAAGTGTAATAATAAGTTTTATTGAAGGGTTGCTTGGAGTATAGAGGGGCTTTCACTGTGTCCAGCCAGTTTCTTAGAAGAATACCACCCTAATGGCTCATAAATATCTGCTGCCCAACCTTGAGCCCCTCATTTAAAGCACTTTACAACATTGATCATTTATGTCCAGAAATGCATGCAGTAACAAAAATGCATCAAAATCTTCAAATCTGCTAAGCTGATTTCGCTATGACAAATTCAACAAAAATTTGTCAAAATTGTCAATTCCACCAAACTGATTTCGCTTTGAGGAATTTGACTGATATTCGTCAAAATCATAAAATCCATAATTATTCACTTAGTTTGAAGAACTTTCGTTAAGTCAGCCATTTTCGTTACCAGCTGCATGCATTTCTGGACATAAGTGGAGACACTGATGTGATCTGATAAGGGAAAAAATTGAAGAGGGTAAGACAGGATGAAATGGGGGAATGCTCAATAATGTACACTTCAAACCACTTAGGACTTTTGAAAAACAAGTTCAGAATCCAAAGGTAGAGGGTTGGATTGCAGGCAGGTGACTTGATGATAAACACCTTCCTTTATGATGCAAGTATTTTTACAAATCATTTTACTAATTTAAGTGATTTTGATGTTGAATTTAGTCAAGGAAGAGTAATAGAGAGTCAGTATGGCTTGGAATATGTGTCCGTGGAGTCACTGTGTATGAGGTATTGTGTCTGAATATTTCTTTCTTGATATTAAGTAAGGTTTAAATTTATAAAACTCAGCACTTGTGTATTATAGCAGCTTCCTTCGCACCTCATTGATCATTCTTCTTTATGGACTTGACCAGTCAAAAAATTCTTAATTAACTGGTATGTCATTTGTTAGACACTGTGGGGTTAAATGTAATGTATTTTTTATATACATCTGTTCCATTCCCTAGGCCCGTGGACATATGAAATTCCCAGTGAACAGACATTCCTGGCCATCAACAAAAAAGCTCTCTTTCAAGGTGTGTGTAGTTTTTGTCTCCTTTGATTTTTTTTCTCCTTAATACTAGACTGTACAAAGTACATTTTAAGTAGTATGTACCATGTAACTTATGTCAATTAAATGTGAAAAAAAATGTAAAAAAGAGAAAAGTGAAACAACTAAAATGATCAGAGAGGGTTAGTGGTCTCAGTTTTACTTTTTTCACTGAATGATCCTTTCATTACCATTCAGTGTTACAGCATTATCAAGCAAAAAGGTACTAAGAACATAAAAAAAAAATGTCAACCAACTGAGTGAGGGACATTGAGTGATTGAAACTTAATAAATTCTTGTTGCTAGAATTTTAAGAAATTTTGAGCAGGTTTATTGAGGTCTAGAGAGAGAAAGGCTTAGAGTAAACCAAGAGTATATAATATAAGAAGTGAATTTAAGATTATTTTAGAGACTGTGGCTTAGTTGGGACCAGTTATTGTACCTTGAAGACAGAAAAAAAAAATGTTCAATTTATAACCTTTTGGGTTTTCTTGCTGTCTTGCAGAAAAAGAAGTTTTTCATAGAACCAAGAGGAAATCCTGATCCACTTAAGATGACATTTTACACAGATCATTATAAAAAGTAGGTACTTTTTTAACTGAATAGTTCATTTTCAGCTACACTAGATGAAAATACAAGGTAATTTTAAAAAAAATGAATTGCATGGAATGAATGGCATTGTCTGTACAAACAAAAAACTTTATTGCCATTGTTTAAGCTACACCTCTTTTCCCAGAGGATGGGCTAGTGCCTGTCTCTTTCCTGCATAGGGAGTCATGTAAGGGTTGCTGGGATTTGCCAGCTATGGGAGGGGTCTCTATCCATGGAGCTGGTTGCCCCCCTCCCCTCCCCCCCACTTACTGTAATGCTAGGATGTATTAATTAACTTACTCCTGGAGTTCCTTGTGGTGATAAAGAAGTTGAACTTGTTATATTTCTCAGGTCAAGATATCTTCTTCAGATGAGTCAAGCATTTCACAGGTTTCAGATGAAGATGAAGACCAAAATGTCTATCTTGGATCAAGAATTGTCCCAAAGTGCTGTTGGTGTGTATAAAATATTGAGATAGGTTTATTACGATGCTGGGGGGTGGGGGGGAATGCACAATTCCTCCTCTGGTGGTTCCTCCTAAAGCAATGGACGAGTGGCTTAATTTAATGTAATTCTGATGATTGACATTTCCAATAATTGTGTAAATAGTTACACATTTTTGTAGTTTTCCTGAAACAGAGTAATGTCTTTTTACAATTTAGATATTGAACTTTCTACTTTAATGGGAATCAAAGGCTTGCCTACATCTGATAAGTTTTGTTTTTCTATCATAGATGAGCCACAAGTGAAGGTGGAGAATGGTCCCACAGATGTATATCATCGCCCATCATACATGATGGCTCGAGAAGCTTCTAAAGAACAGTCGATACAACATGTTCACAAGACTCTTGAGCGTCAAAAAAGTTTAGACACCAATCAACTGCATCATGACAATCTAACACATACTTCACGGGATTCTGGGACTGAAAAGAGGCGATACTCAACCAGCGATGAATCAGAAGACAGCACAATGTACCAAACACAGCAGAAAGACTTCCTGCCTGAGGGATTGTCAAATTCATCCTCTCAACGGCAGTTCTCTCAAGATGTGGACAACGAGAGAGATGTTGATATGCCTTACGTCATTGGTCAGTTTAAATTGGAAAACAAGTGTTATCGTAAACCATTTTTCCTTAACAGGGCATCAACATTTTGCGCCAAGAATCCAGAAAATACACTTAAAATGAAGAGGAAGTCAAATTTAAAAAGGGCCTTGTCATCTTCATCTTTTCTCAATCGTTCACTGAGCAATCCATGTTCTGTTATATATGAAGAAGTAGTATTGTAATGCATGTGAAACAGTCTTTTTAACAGTGGTTTGAATTCATATTAGGCCTTAGAAGAATTTTTTTTCAGTCAGGTGAAACATGTGGAGAATTTTTTTCCATGATTACTTTTTTCCCCTTTAGTTTGATGATTTGTTCATTCTTTTGAGGCACTAAATGAATCCTAGTATGGACATCAAAGTATTTTGATGGTCGACATGCTGCCTTGCCTACTCAGTAGTGTCTTGAATTCATCCTTTTAATCTTTGGTGTAACTCTTACTCTTGAACATTCTAATAAATCCTCCTCTTACTTAGAATGTTTTCAGTTAACACACCTTTCTTGTTTTGACTCTGAGGAACAACCAGTCACATGGATGTTTCGTTGCAACCTTGTACACATGCATGACTTCCCAATAGGCATGACTTCCAAATTTAACTATGCCATTGCATAGTTATAAAGGAAACTCATTCTCTTGAGGATAATTTTCTCTTCTCTTGCAAGAGGCACTCACTTGAGTGCTGTTTTGAGTATGTCCAACTGCCTTTTTTAGCTATAGGAGTATTTTGTGTTAATGGAGAGTATGGTGAAGTGCTCTATCTTTATCATGTCAATACCATTAAAACTGTTCTTCAGCATTTTATAACTTTTTTTCTAAGCTGTGGAATGGTATTAAATTTGAATCTCTTATGATCTGTTCAAAGTAAAATTTCTTCTGTGCTATAAGACTTGACCTGCAGTATCTTGCTTCATCACTTAGTACGATGTACATTAAATATTTTCCACCTTGTATAAAAATTTGTCATTATCTTTATTCTCTTGTGTAAAAACTATGCTTCTCTGGTCTCTTTTCTATGACTGTTACCTTACAATCAGCATATTCATATTGGATTTTGTGTTTCTGGTTGCTTAAGTCAAGATCTCTTTCCTCTGTATTCCACCCTTTTTGTTTTCCTGGACTGTTACTCTTTTCATTTAAGAAAAAGAATTCCTGCTAAGGCATTATCTGGCTGCTGCACAAAATGCTCATGCATAAATAGCCACTTTGACATGGTTATTCCATGTATAGGTGCTTCCTAATCAGTTGCATGCTTCTTGCATTCTCTTCTGTTTCATATGACATGGCCTTTAATGGCCCTTCCTTCATTTCTCCTTTGGTTTCCAGTGCATGGGGGTTGTCTTGGTTCAGACTTCCTGGAGGTAAACATGGTCATTCCACATCCCATGCCTCCTAGTAGGTGTGGCATGCCAAATACATTCTTCCCTATTTGTTTCATTCCTTCTCCCTCATCCACCACTACAACATTATCTTTGACAGCTTCTCTATCATCTTTTTCCTTGTGTCTATTGTTTGGTGGTCCAAGTGATAGGGGCTCAAAGGAGAGAGGCATGATTTTTCCATATCGCATGCCTCCTCCTTAGGATTGTAGCCTTGTAATGAATTTATGCACTCTGCTAAACAGGAATTTCAGGAGTTGCAATTCATGTGAGATTTCAGTTTGTTATAATTTGTCCTGAGTTTTGTCCCAAGATGTCCTGCCATACTCTCACAGCTTTTTGTCAAGCTAACAATTATTTCTATCTTGTGAGTGGTTTCACACTTAATTAGGTTTTTATTATATCTGTCAAATGATCTTACTCTGTTGTCTTGTGTTTTTTTTTCTTTTTTGATATGAACATTTTGGAAGCAGTATATAAATTGATTTCTCCTACATTTTGGCAAAAAAAGCAAACAGTTTAATTAATTTGTTCATGAAAATTGCTAACCATTTTCTTGGTTTACACACAGGTTATTTGCTAACAACTCAAAAACTGAGTAATGACTTTAATAATCTTGGCTTTAAATTATGAACATAATTATAACTGAATCATTAATAGTGACATCACTCATTTGTAACCTGTAATTGGCCAAGTCTGTTGTTCAGGGTTTTTTTTCACTGTAGAGAAGCCAAAATAACATGAAGGTTCAATTTCTTGCTGTCTGTGACTGTCATTGTTTTCATCTTTCTCTCTTTTTTTTTGGTTTTTTTTGTTTGATTTTGAATTGGGATGCAATCAGTTTCATAAGTCTTATTGTTCTGTAATGCCTCTCAGCACAAATAAATGTCTACCTAATCTACTAGGTATATATTGGACTGGCCAAAACACCAAGGAAAACAACCCTAATTTTCAATTCGTTGCTGAAGCTTTAATCAATTAATTATTTTCTTTTTTTAATGAGAATTTCCATGGAATCAAGACCTTTAAAACCATTGACATAAATACAATGAACTGCTATCGGTTGATGACATGAGATGAGTGTGATGACCATGACAGTTAAGATCTCTTTTGATTCCATATCTAAGATAAGAACACTCTCTTATTTTGAGCTGGTCAAATTGATGAAACATGATTGCACATAGAAGAAAGGTTGTTCGTTTTAAACTGGTTCAAGAGAAAAAAACTTGTATCAGACAAAGAGGTAACATGAAAAATTGCTCAAAAGCAGAATCCACATGTGAATCAAAATTTGATTTTTATCAGGTTATTATGACTGTTATGATGTCGTTTCTTTCATGGTACTATATAGATTTAAAGTTCAGCTTGTTAGCTGTTATTTTGGAGCATTTCTCTGTCAAGATTTAGTTAAATTTGATTTAAGCTTTCAAAAAAAAGAAAGATAGCAAGTGCTTGATTCACGAGGAAATTTTGGGCATTTTTCAGTTTGTGGAGTATTTGTATTATAAGTGAGATTACTTTGTCACTTATTCATTTGCAAATAGCCTGTCATGCTGTGTTACTTTATAATAAGCACAAGGTGAATAATCTACACTCCATTTTTTATTTTTCACTTTATTTCAGAATTCACGATAGTGATCTCTTTAAAATGGATTTTTCAATTTGTGGCCCCAAGAACAGCACAGGAACCACATCTTTCTTTTTGATTGTGATCTTTCTTGTTACAGTTCCTTTAATATTTTTGTTTCTGTAATTGGTCCAGTGTTCTAAACAGATATTGAATTTTTGGAATCATCTTTCATTGCTTCTTTGTGATCGGTTTCAATATTCTCAGAAGGTTTAGCATTGTTTTCTTCAAATTTGGTGGTGATATCTTGTGTATTGATCAGTATTTTTAATTAAAAATTCACTAAGAACACACCTGCTCTCTTCTCAAGCTGTGTGAAGTCTGCTTCCTGACCCTAATACTGTCCTATTTGTAATGCTAAAATCTTCTCTTTTTTTCCCTGGTTTTTGTGTGGTTGTGTGTGTGTAATCTGCTCCCGGTTTTGACAATGTTTCATTTATTTCTGAAATTTCTAGATTCCACCCTAAACTCCCAGAAGCTGAACAAAGTGATAAGCAGAGATTTGTCTATTGAAGCAGAAGGTAAGATTTGGTGATGTTGTTATAATTTGCATCTGTTTACAGACTCTTTAATCTGTCACTTTTGGTCTATCTTGATCTTAAACTGAACAGAATTTCAGTTGTTGTCTTGTACTTTTGGTGTCACTAAAGGAAAAATTTCTGGGTTATCTGTGAATGTATTACTTTCTCAAAGAAAAAAAATAATAAAGGTAATAAATCTGTTTTTAAATCACCTCATCAAGAAATATCTTTTTTGAATTTTCTTTTGGTCTTTTTTTTTTTTTTTTTTTTTAATTTCTGTCCTTTTTACCAAAATTGGGGTGAAGTACATATTATATTTATTTGGGATTCATATGCTATGAAATCTAAAGGTTTACAATACCTTAGTTTGGACTATTCAATTTTAAATCTTAAAGGGATGTTTTTTCCTCATTGAAAAATAGAAGTCTTTGTCTGGACAGGTTTAATTGCTTTTGACTGTTGCCAAGTTGATTACATTTTTTTCCCTTTTTTTTGGAGGGGGGGGAGGGGGGAGGTTTGAATTCTTTGAACTGGGCATTTTTCTCATTTTTATGTCATGTAGATTGGATGTCATCATTGTGCATGAATGAACTTTCATTAGATTTTACAATTGATGGTAATGCAAAAATGAAATATTTTATTGTCATTTAAATTTTGGATTTCAGGACAGTGGTATATACCAAAGACAGATGGAAAGTGATATTTTGAAATTCACCTAACATTTATGAAATTGATATAGATTTGCAACCAAAAAGTATTATTAAGTGTTTGTTGGTGATGTATGCTTGTTCTTGTTTTTGTGGATGACACTTCAACTGTTATATGTTTCCTAGTATTAAAAAAGTTGCTTGTGTTTCAATACTGACACTCCTTTTTAACCTGTGGAGTTTTACCATAATTCTTCTTGTTGTTTCTAAAGAATTTTCTTGATGAGAAGTCAAAATAGTGTAATCGGCTGCTCTAATTTTTGTTTGTTGAGTGACCCAAACATAAGCTTAAAAATTGTAAACAAAAGTGCAAATTAGCTCATGTGATTTTTAAAATTCACTTCAAAAGTTGTACACTAAATTAAGACTTAAGGGTTAGGGTAAGGGTTGGGTGAAGTGAGAACTGATATTTTAGGAAGGAAATTTACAGAGTTTGTACAGGTCCAGAAAAACCTGGAAAGTCTTGGAATTTTATTTTGACTTTTTCCAGGACTGGAATTCCTTGAAAAAGACTAGGGAACTGTTATTTATCCAATGTCTAGCGCAAACTAGATATAATAAATGAAATTAAAATGTCCCTCCGTTATTATTTTTTGGCCTTCTTGACACTGCAAAAATAAATGTTCAGATAGATTCAACTGAACAGAGGATTGTTTAGGACATGGTTTTGTTGAGCAATGGCTAATCTTTGTTTAAATAGTCACCTACAGGTCCTGGAATGTCCTGGAAATGAGCTTAACTCAAAGAACAAAGTTTTCAGAACTTACATTTTAAGAATTTTTTATATTTATTATTATTATAAATAATGCTATTTATTAGGAGTGAATTGCACTGTTTCAAGTAGTGTGGAGTACCAGGTAAAAGGTGCTTAATCAGAGGTGCATGATCACTTTCAGTCAAAGTTTTTGTGTTATTGCTATAAATTTATCAGCTCTGTATGTTTTTTTTTTTTTTAAGAAAACATCAAGTGCCACAATTATTGAATTGAAATTAATAATCTTCCCAGTGCTGCCATAAATGGTCCATATCACTCCAAATAGAATTATCGTTAAGCTTTAAGGAAAATATGAGCTTGTTGCAGTTATCATCTGGTTACTTCTACTGCCTTTCTTTAAGCAAAGCTTACTTACCTTATGTTTTCTGAAACACAATCAACCCCCTGTACCAAATTATTAAAGGAAATAACTCATCATCTATCTTTGAGCAGTAGGCTGAGTTTTTTTATGCTGATATGTAGAAAGATTGAGAAGAGTCAATTAGGTATTAAGTGTATCCCATTTACAAGTTGTGCCAATATTGGCTTCAACCCTTACATTTCCATCTAAAATGTTTGTCATATGAATAGAGACTTGAAACCATTTTAATGTGTAGGGTCTGCTGAAGGATTTTGCACACATCTTACTAGATGAGTGACAATAATGCTTTGAATATTAAGGAAAGGAAACCACAACGATTTTGTGACGATTTAAAGCAGCAACAGTGAATTGACATGCAGCACCCAATGTATTTTACTCACACAAAGCTAGACATTTACAGTCTGGTACTCATGCAACTATTTTATTAAAAATGTATCATAGCAAAGATATTATTTGTTGGCTACATTTTGTTAACATTTCAAGTTTTTGCTTGATTTTGTATCAACAATTGCTACTGTGGCCATGGGCAGCGAGCATGCGATGCAATTTATTTTGTTTAAAACATCAGCTCATTATCAACACTAAATGTGTCATTATATTGTACATGATCTTGTCTTTAATCTGTATTTTTGGATAGAGGATTGGTGCACCAGTAATTTGCATTATTAGGAAATTTGTGTGTGACTGTTGTAAGAGACATGACTGTACTTGAGCAGGTGTCTTTTTCAACTGAATTTAATTATATTCAAACAAACAGAGAAATTGGTAGCAGGTTTCTTTGTTTGCTCTGAAATGAGAACTCCTGCATTAAAATATGGAGCCAATTTGTATCAATTATCTTCAAAATGTTTCCCTTTTGGTGAATTTGCAAGAGCTGAATTTTTTAAGTACCAGGATCAAAAGCTTTGTTTATATAATCGAGAGAGGGTATGGCAATTGTGACACAATAATTTACATCGTTCCTATTGTCAATTTGGTAAGGTGAACAGATGAATAATTTATGCAGAACGTCATAGAACATCTTGGCATTATGTGTATAGCAGAATTTCTATTTATGATAACTTCTTAGTGAAAGCGTAAATTTTTATGTAAGTTGGTGTACACACAATTTATATTTTGTCATTCTGATGGAAATTTTTACAAATTGGATTGTGACATTATTTTAAACATAAGATATGTGAAAAGTTGCTAAATATAAGGTTTTGTGGTGAATTGAAGGATTACTTTAGACAATCTGCAACTACTTGCTTGTGTATGGTGTTAAAAGTAGCAAGATATCATTTACTACACAAGTGCTGTTACTTTACTTCTGATAATTGTCCTTTTCCACTTGTTTTACAGAAGAAAGGAGCTCTGAAGTGGTGGCATCTCCTGATAGGGAACTTTGTATCATCAAGTTTGAGAAAGAACCAGGGAAATTGTTAGGTGAGGAGAGGAATTTAAGAGTACTGGATCTTTTCTATATTTAGTGTAATTTCCTCTTTTGTGAATGACTGTTAAGAACCACTTGCCACATTTTTTTATTCTCTATTGGAATTATTGTATGATCTAGAAATTTAAATTGTGATCAAAGTTTGTACAAAATATTAGAGCACTTGGTCAAATGTGTCTGATGAATTTAACAGTAATTTTGTATATTTAGTATGGTTCTTTTGATGTGGTTCATGATGATTATGTTTTGTGACTTGGTCAGAGTGGCAGGTAAACTATGTTTTTTTTTTTTTTTTTTTTTACAAGAAAGATAAGTTACATTGGCATTTTTCTCTGATAACTTAGGCTTAAGTCTTGAAAAGTATTGCTTTGCCATTGAACTGGGACTCTAATAAATATTTTGAATAATCTACCTCACTGTTAGATTTTTAATTGTAAGTTACAATCATGCTTGTATGTTAGACCAAAATAAAAAAAAGCAGAAAGAGGCAAAGATGCATACAGAAAGTATACATGGATATTTTTTCAGAGTATTTCCTTTGGGGAAGATTTCAAGAGAAATGAGATAAAATCATGTTTTTCTTGGTTTTAGTGACAGATGTAACGTTATGTATGGTAATTGGGGATGCAAAATGAAAAAGCACTCAGTCCTTAGTTGGGTTTTCATTAGTTATTGTGTTAAAAGCTTAAATTTGAATTTAAAGCTGGGTAGATACTATAGTGCATGATTGCTGAAAATTCAAGGTGCTCAAGTAGTAGCTATAGTTACATGAGAACTGAAACAAAAATAAAATTGCGTGCTTTAACCTGTTTGTCTCTGACAAGTAACCAAGTGGAAATGTGTATACAGTTCATTGTATCTTGTGGATTTTTTTGAAACACAAAGTTGTGGAAATTGAGGTCCCTAGTGAAACATTTTGGTGTCTAAGGATTGTTAATGAAGATCACTAGGTAACCCAAATGAAACATTTTAAAAATGGAAAACATCCTCTTTTCTAACCATTTTTTTGTAAATCTTTATTTAAGTAGCTGCTACAATGTACTCCATGGCTTCTTAAGACTAAAGCTTTTAACCAGTGGCTAGTTATCATTTAGAGTAACTGTGTAGTTTTTCAATAACATCCCTAAATTTCTGGGATGGACCAAAAATATATTTTGCCTTTGTGTATTCAGAACAAATAATGGAGCGCTAGATGCATCACTGTCATGTACTTGTCCAAATCGCAAAGTTCTTGTCTGAATTTCACACTCATAGGCCTTGCTGATCAAGTAAAAGTGCAATATTTCCTCTTAAAGTCACATTATGTTATGAGAAACAGGTGCTTGTAGCCTGTCTGCACTGACATGCTTGTTTTGTTTGGGTGTTGAAGTGGCGTCATGTTTGAAATAGTCTATATATATGTATATATTTCAGCATTGAGCACTTTTTGCTGAGGTAGACTCTACCCCCACATTCATTTAATATAGATATATATATATATATGTGTGTCCTTTTTTCTTCTTAAAATATTTATTTATTTATATATATATATATATATATATATATATATATATATATAATGTATATTTATAATTTATATATAATTTTAGAGCCTTAAGAAAGAAACAATAAATTGATACAGCATCAACCTCTCAATCTAATTTACAAACTTACAGGCATCACTGTTCTTGGTGGTGAGAATTCTAAGCGACTGAATCGTGGAATTTATGTCAAAGCTGTGACTGAGGGAGGTGCTGCCTGGAGAGATGGTCGGCTGAAAGCTGGTAAGATGATCACCAGTTGACGCAATTAAATATTAAGAAAAGGAGAACCATTGACCATTTCTTCATAACCAGCAATTTTTCTGATAAAGGAATGATTTAACATGAGAAGGAAATGCTGTTGAGCTCCATTTGTTGTTATTGTTTCTTAGAGTAACCCTTGCTTCACACTAGGCTGAGGTACATGATTTTGCTCAGTTTTACATTTTCTTCCTTGAACACTCATTATGGGGAAGTCATGAAAAATCTCACCCTGGTTAACTTTCAACTCAACCAAGAGTACATTTTTACATTATTGCCAACATTTTATCAATATGCTTGTTACTTTGCAGGTGATAGAATCTTAGCAGTGAATGGCCAAAGTTTAGAGAGAGTCACTCATGAGCATGCAGTGTCTGTTCTCAAAAATGTTACAAGCCCAGTGGAACTTAAAGTATCACAGAGTTCATTCCCTATCTCTTCATTAGGTATGTTGTAGACTCAATAATGCAACAAAAGGTATCAATTTATGAACTGTACCAGCTGCTGATGTTAGGACAACTCTTTAGCCAGGAGAGCTATTTTGTTAGAGTTTATCTCAGTTTTGGTAGTGAGTGACAAGGAGTGTTGATACTCTTTCCCCTCCCCCTTCCCCTATGGAAAGGGTGCTCTCTTCCTGATAGCTTTCCAGCACACTTTTATACTCTTGGGTGGAGAAAGACACTAGCTATGACCTCTTTTTGCCCAACACAGTGAGCAACTCCCCACTGACACAATGGGGAGTAAGTTCCTTTGAACTTATTACAGCCATAATTATTTTTAATTACTGTCTTAGCTCACTCCTTTCTGGTTTTCCTTTGAGTCAGATTTATCCTCAATAATTATGAGGTACCTTTTCTTTTTTCCATCTATGAAAAAGGCCCAGTTTGTTAAGCATGTGAAGGTGTTAAAGAAAATGACACTTTGATAAGGAATCATTGAGGTGGAGGCTAACACACACCTTTGTCATTTCTTTACAATAATTGAAAAATATTGTTCAATGGTATAAACTTGAAAGTAATGCTTATCATGTAGCTCAAAATATTTTGCATTACAAGTAGACATACAGCTCATTAACATGCAATTTTGAAACCTTAGACTCGTTATGGCCAGCGATAATTGTACCCAGCTTCTTCCTCTTTTTCATTTGTAACAGTAGAGATAGAAAAACGTAAGAAAAATATCCAATTTTTCTTGTGCAGATCTCTCCAGTATTCCAAATATAAGTGCAATCAATGAGGAGCCTCAGAGCCTTGAAATTAAATCTTTGACACCAAGAGATACATCTTCAGCTGAAACCGATCACAAGGAAAGCCAGTCATCAAGAGAACAATCTCCAGAACCTCATCCTTCAACCTTTGCTTTTCCATCAGAGGATGAACCTGTTACTATGATTTCTAAATCAATCCCTCCTTCAGTGATGTCTGTATCGTCAGCATCTTCACGCCAAAGAACAAGTAGACAAGGTGCAAAAAATGGTATTTGAGGCATTGTTGTTAAGGTTGAGGACAGTATCTCTTAATTCACTAGCATACACTTGTTTTCAGTCCTTTCTATATTTTGTCTAAACAAATTCTTACAGAAACTACAGTTTTTCACAATGTTTCTTTTTTGGGGGACCATACAAAACTATCATCAAATTAGAGAAAGCAACAAAATATAAGCATGGGCAGATAACTAATGCAACCTGTCAGAGGCAAAGAAGGGACGAGGATATTTGAGGCAGGGGAAGAAGGACAGAGATTAAAAGAAAACCAACTGGTAAAACTATTGCTGGCAGTTTCTTTCATGATATACACACTACAATGTAGCTCCTAAAAACCAACACTTTTGAAAATGTCTGTAATAACTTATTGTGCTCAAACTTATTATTAATAACTGCAAGATTAATAGTCTCTTCATTCTTCATTTTGGTGAACAGATTTTGTTGATTCACACAAAGTTTCCCAAGCAAAGTTCAGCTCAGACTCTGCAGATACCAGAGAACCTAATATTCAACCAATGACTAGAAGTGCACCTCTAGAAGCTAATGTGATCCAAAGTTCACTATTCTCTGCTACTGTGCCACTGGTCTCAGCAAGTGTTGCAAACCCTCAAAGGGATTCCCCTAATGGAAGGCAGGAATCCCTCAGTGGTGATGAGAGTGGAGTTTACAGTGAAGATGCTTTGCCGGTTGGTTAAAAAAATTTGATGTTGAAATAAATAATCATGATCTTTTTATCAGAGCAAACCTTTTCAATCATCCCAAATCTAATTTGCTTTGACCATTTTCCTCATTTTAGGAAAAAGCTTTTGTTGTTGAATTAGGGAAGAGAGATGGAGGCCTAGGTTTGAGTGTCAGTGTAAGTGTTTAAATTTCTATCATCAGTGAGCAGAGAAAGCTTTGGACTGATATGATTAGTGCTTTGATTAATTCCCTTAACTAATTTAGTTGGAAATCTATAGTAGGTTGAAGTTATAATTATCATCATCTTTATTTGCCTTATTTACAAAATACAAAAAATTTATTTACAGTGGTTATAGCTAGAAGGCGAGGAGACCCAGGAAGCCACCGGGCTTATCAATCAGATACCTCATTCAGTAAATCTCCTTACTGTCTACCTAAAAATTCTAATGATGTTATTATTGATAATTTTGTATCGGATCAACTTATCTTCTAATTGATATTTTTCTTTATTCTCATCACTTTTCTGCTTGATATTGTATTGATATTGCAAGGAGAAATTCTGTCTTAGTCACTTGTGGGAATTTAAGGGTTAAGGGGTAACAGTTGCTGTACTGTAAGGGGTAACAGTTGCTGTGCTTCTCTCTTAGCTGAATCTTGTGCTTACAAAGAATTTTAAATTTTTGTTTCTATTAGGGTGGAATAAATACCAGTGTCAAGCTCGGTGGAATCTACATCAAGTCTCTTCTTCCCAATGGCCCAGCTGATATGGATGGCAGGGTGCAAATCGGTGATCGTATCTTGCAGGTGAATGGTATCAGCTTGGTGGGAGTCACTCACAAACAGGCTGTCGAGACCATAAAAATGGCCCCTCAAAGAACTAGACTTGTCTTGGACCGCTCTGTTGCTGTCAACATTCCAAAGTCCTCTGGGAAAAAGGCAAGGTCCCAACCTTCCGATAAGCCTTTTATGGTAGAGCTTGTGAAAGGTGTGGGAGGCCTAGGGCTGAGCCTGGTTGGTGGAAAGGGAGCTGGGGAAGAGCATGGTGGTGAGTGTAAATTTTTATGGACGTGTCACACAGAATTGATGATGTAAAATTCTAAATTCTCAAAAGTGTGTTTTCTTTGGAAGTTTGCAGACTTTTTGAACACTTCATTTCCTGCTTGTTTAGGTTTCCTCAGAATCAAGAAAATGTTTCCAGGACAACCTGCAGCATCTTGTGGCAAACTTCAGATTGGCGACATTGTTCTCAAAGTTAATGGAAATAACATGCATGGTGTCACCCATCAGGAAGCCATAAATCATATACGTATGGGTCCCCAAGAAGTAAAGCTTCTTGTTAAGCGAGACCCATCCTCAATCCCTCCATCTCTTTTACAAAGAACAGGGTCCAATGCCAGTGATGTGGACCCCGCCCAAATTCTTGCAGACATCCAAAATAAGCTGAGAAGTGATCATTCACCGTCGCTAAGTACACGGTCATCAGATTCATCAACCAGAGGACAGCATTCACCTAAAGAAGAGATTGTAAAGGTACAAGAGTCCTCAAACACAGAGGCACCTGTCAGTTTGAGGTCTAGTCTGATGGCCACTGAACCAGTGAAGTACCCTGATCACTCTGAATTCAATCGCCCTGAGCTTGTTAACAGAAGCTCTGAACCAGTCATTCAGGTCAAGACTGTGCACAACACTTTAGTATCAACAAATTCTTCTCCTAATGTGATATCAGTCAGACCAACAGAAAGTCCCAAAATCAGTAGACAAGAGGCTTTCCATCACAGTGAAGAGGATGAAGATGGGGATGTATCTTCCCTTGGTGATGCACCATTAGCTGAAGATGAGTCAAGTGATGTGGAGGACTCACGGAGAACATCTTCAATTGACATTATCCCAGCTGATCACTCTATATATGATGTAGCAAATGTACAGGAACTTATGGGGAAACTTTCCATCGTTGAATCTCAAGAGGAAGGAAAGGTTCAGCCCAATGTAGCAGAATCAGTAAAAGCATCTGTAGTAAGTGATGGTCCACCATTACAGGAGGAAGTGGTTTCCATTCCGTCTTCATCAGAGTCTGAGGGGTCTGATGTGGATGAAGTGGAAGAGCTTATTGACAAAGACAATGATGAAGCAACAATTTCCGCACCAAAAATTGAGGATGAAAAAAAATCTGCAAGCATGACTCCTAAGGAAGAGGTATTGCAATGTTCTTTTCTGTCAGTCATGATCAATTTTTAAGTCTATGGTGCCTGTGAGTCTGTCCTTGAACATCCCCATAATTTGTAAGACCCAATATTGTTAAAACCCAAAATTCACTTCTCATCACTCAGTCACTCTTTATTTCCACTTCTCTCACTCCTGTGAACTTTATGGTAAGTCCTCCAGTATGTAAGGCTTTTGCATATCCATATGCATATTTATAGTTGTTAATGTAAATTGGCCACTGTAAAGAGTTTCAAAGCTGATGTTTTGAACATAAGCCCTTCATCATGTGCTCTGACGAAGGGCTAATGCTCAAAATGTCAGCTTTGAAACTCTTTGCAGTGGCCAATTTACGTTATTAACTTGTTGATAACACCAAATTACCCTGTTATACTCTCCCACAACACAGCACCACAGTTTCTCTAGAAACTTACCCCTTTTTTCACATGTCCAGTTCAAATTCCTGTACCACTGATAACTATTATTCAGTAAATCTCCTTGGAATTGGTCAAAATTTTAAAAGTCTGCTGAGAAATAATGTTTATTTCATACCGATCAAGTAAATAAATGTAAATGAATGCGAAAGGTTTCTTTACCATCCAAGTAGTAATGTGATCCAGTTATGATATGTCATGAATCACTTTATGGTGAGCAAATGGATCCATGAGTATTTTCTGAGATATACTTAGAGAATCACACAACTATCTCTTGCATGAAGCAAAGAAAAAGAACCTTCAACCAAGTTCTCTAAATTAAAATATTATAAATCCTTCTCATTCACAAACAGGTATTATACATAGATTTGGTGAAAGGTTCTGGTGGGCTTGGTTTCACTCTGTCAGGAGGAGCAGACACTGTTGGCGGGTGCTTTGTGCGGGATATTGTTGGTGGTCCTGCAAAAGAGGATGGCCGTTTGCATCAGGGAGATCAAATACTGATGGTAAGAAAACACTAGATTGTGAGATGATGAATGTAGTAGCAAGTTTACAAAATAAATTCAGTGGCAATTCAGTGGTAAGTTAACAGAATAAGATTAGAGGGATTATTTCAAAGCTTGGCATCAGATGGTCCAGTGCTGCCCCACTCTTCTCTTTCATACCTATTTTGGAGCACATGTTCAATCTAAAAGTTAATGAGAGAAAGCTATCTGAACATGTGTCAACTACCTTGCAAAACTTGAGATCTCTAAGGGTTCTGTATTAGTGGATGCCTTAATTGGCTGATAGCTTCTTTGAATTCATTTGTTAACTTTATTCATTGAAATAGTCATTTCATGTCCCTTACATTTTTCTTCCCTGCATGGTGATGACTAAAAATGTATCATAATTATTAAGGTATTAAGATCATGAGTTCTTTTTTTTTTTCTTCTGAAGGTGGATGACAACAACATTTCAAGTATGAAGCACATGGATGCTGTCAATGTTTTACGAGCTACAAAGCAGTATGTTAAACTTGTAGTGCTTAGAAGACCAACAGGGGTGAGTTCCAAAGTACAGGGTTGTTGCTCTATATCTTGTTTCCCCTGTAGGTATTTCTATGGAATGTGCTGTGCTCCTCTCTTCAAATGGCTGCTCTCCTAACTTAAAAAGTTTTAGCTTTTCGTAGTTTGGCTCAATCCACTTAAACCATGTTGGTACACGTTAAGATGTCCAGGGTAACCCATTGGCCCTGAAGAATGACTAGCATCTGACTTCTTTTTGCAATATCACCACTTAAATAAACATTAAAGCCATGAGATTAAAGGAAAAAATCACCAACAAAAGAAGCACTTAACTGTCAAACAAATTCTTCTTGTGAACACCTTAAAAAATGTACAGCGACTGGTGTGGAGAATATGAATAATGGCTCAGTGAATGGATGATGCACTTAACTTCCTTGATAATCACCTGCAGGGCAGGTGATTTTTGTATGAAACAATTGTCAGTTTGTGTGATTCTTGCCAGAGCAGATTAGCCAATTTGTTCAGAATGATGCAAACTTTTGTTTAGCATGGGAATGAGGAAAATACAACAGAGATTCAAGTTGAAACCAGGGAACTTTTCTAATATTTCATTTCCCAAGGGAGGGCCCACAAGTCAGACTTCACTTAGACTTGCAAAAGCCCAAACAATCTACATCCAAATGCACAGAGATAGTGATACATAGGTAGTTGTACCATGAGCAAAAAGAAGATATTAAATTGCTTATAAATAATTATTTGCTTTCCAGCTTGTGGGCTCAACTAAGTCAGGCCCAGTGGAAGTTGTTAATCTGACAAGAACAACCCAAGGTAGAATTGGTCTGTTGATTAGAGAGGGTGAAGACCAAAAGATTTATGTTGAGGATGTTGTCCCAGGGGAGCCAGCAGCTACTCAGGGGAGTTTGCGACGAGGAGACAGAATTTTAGAGGCATGTATTGTCATAGGTTTTTTTTTAGTATTATAAGTGTTAAAGCACAGTTAATATTGGACTTTCACTAGATTTTATCACTTTTAATCAATTTTACACAATTTGTGAATCTAATTTACTTCCATTTTCAGATCAATGGCACTAAAGTAGATGGCCTCGGCTTTGTGGCAGCTAGACAGCATCTAGATGCAGCAAGACCAGTTGCTAGGTTGTTGGTGGAAAGAAGACCTTGTCAAATTGAATCCAAATATTCCATGAATCAACAGACAAGCCCTGAAGTCCTTAGCCCAACACAGTCTCTTGATATCCCAGATGAGAACAGAACTGGTTCAAGTGATGATGCATATGACAGCAGAGATGAAAATGGTGAAAGAAAAGAGATTGATGATGATGATGAAGAGGCCAAGGTGTGTCTTTGACCATTTTTCTGGCTTTGGTTGTTTGATTGACAGATAGAACTGTTTACTCTTTAAACAAGTAGCACTCCTTCTTGTCGCTTTTTGCAGTGGAACTGAAGATGTATTGTAGTTCACGTGTAAGCACATCCCCGTATCTATTGTGATTTTATTGCTCAGAACTCCCACAAAAAAAAAACAGCCAAGCAGGCTATACATCAGACACATTGCAGTACAGTTGCTGTGACACAGTTATAGTCAGCTGTTAGTGTATTCAAACATTTGAAAATTTATTTGGTATGAAAGTACGTTTAGGAGAGCAATTCTTAAGGGTTCATTTGTGTTTTTCTAAGAAATTTTGGTGACTAGTATACTCCAGCAATACCAATGTTGGTTATCTTGGTTTAATTTGTCAGTAATCAAATTGATTTAGCTGTAATTGTTAAACTGTTTCAAAGACATTACAAAATTCAGGACCTATGAATACTACATATGGTTACTAGCTTTATTTCCAGATTTAGTTAGCATTCAACATGTTACAATCCAGTAAAGAGCAGGGGAATTGAAATAGGAAAAACACAATTCAGTGGCAGAGTGAACAAAGTGATCTCTAGACTTCTTAAATCCTCAACCACCCCACAATGGTGGCATCTTTAAGATTTCAGTTTTTTTTCTTTTATATTTCCTGATACTAGGGGGAGCAGTTTACCATGAAGCTTGATAAAGGTCCACGTGGATTTGGCTTTAGTCTGGTTGCTGCACCAACATTTAATTCAAATGTGAGTGAATGATATAATTTTGGTATTCAAGTGTTCTTGACCAGTGATTTGTCACCTATTGAAATGTTTTGTTGTCATGATTGTGTTGTAGGCCCAAGGAATTTTTATCAAGACAATAAGCCCAGGAAGTGTTGCTGAGAGTGACGGCAGGTTAAAAGTTGGTGATCAGATCTTGCAGGTATGATTGTATGTTATGCAATTTGTATTAAGAGAATTTTTTTCTGTGTCTGATAGTCATTTTATCTTAATCAGGTCAATGGAGAAGATGTTCAAGGTCTCAGCCATGCAAGGGTCATTGGTATGTTAAGAAAAATTACAGGAACAGTGGAACTGGAAATTAGGAGGTATGCACCTCTTCATAAAAAAAATTTTTTTTGGATTTGGAGAACACGCACTACAAACTTTGAATGAAATAAAACTTTTAAATTATGTGGCTGCTTATTCTGTTGAACAAGGAAGGAAGACATTTTCAAAGCAACAAGTAATTAACAATTTTTACAGAATTAGAGGTCAATATCTGCCCCTTTAACAACACAGTGGTGAATGAGTACAGTTTAGTAAAAAAGAATGAATTAATTTCTGTGAACTGAAAAATGATCGGAAACTGGACTCTGAGCCAGCCAGTCAATGAATAAGTGAAACACCACTTTCCTTGCTAATGGGTGGTATATTGTTAGGAAGTTATATCCATTAAGTCAATATAAAACATAAAGAAGCTAGATTTGGTTATTTGTTGAGTAGTTTTTGTTTTGTTTTTCTATCTAACAGACCATCTAAACTTTATGGAGCAGATGCTTCTGTGTCTTCACCAAAAGGATCCTTAGGATCATTAGAGGCCACAAGAGCTCCTTTTGAAAGAGCACCTCACTCTGTTGACCTTGATATCACCTTAGAGGACAAGGACAAGGTATTTTAAAATCCTTGAACTGAGTCACCATGATCTTAAATTTATTTTGTGCCTCATCATCTTGTAAAAGAAGTACTCTTACCTGATTAGAAGTGTACCATTGTATCCGACTTAAATCTTCCTGTTGATATAATCCTGTCAATAATCATAAAATGATCCTAAATAATTCCTAAACTTTTGGTCAAGCCATAAATTCTTTTTTTAACTGGTCACTGATTTTAAAGCCACATCTTGAAATAAATGCAATAAAAATATTGAGGCTTAAGATATAATACACTTAATCTTGCTGGGAAATTAATATTATTATTATTATTAATATTAATATTATTAGTAGCAGATCTTGAAAATTGTGGGCTGAAGGCTGAAGGCTGAAGGCTGAAGGCATATGACGTAGTTTCCCCAAATTTGGTTTCTCTCTTTGTAAACTTGATTGCAGCATTTATGCCCCCGGCCATGTATTAAGTTACATTTTCAGTGATTTCTTTTAAGATGTTCTTTAGATAAACAACCTAATGATATACCACAGTCTGTTAACATTTGGCCTTCAAATGAATTGAGGTTTAGCAATTTGAATATTACAAGGATGGCTGAGTGATTATTTGTTGCAGTGCTTAGGTAACAGATTTAAGAATAAAATGCCCCAAGGGCATGACAGTTAAATCAGATATCAGTCTGGGCTGCACCTTTTCCTGTTATAAGATATCTTTCGTTTTAACTAACCTTATTTATCAGTTAAATTCCCTTGATTTTCATTCATGTTCTCACTGCATGTCAGAGTGGGATTCTCCTTAACTAAGACAAGATTTTACAGAGGACAGATTTAAAATGCTTACCATTCTCTTTGCAGTAAGTTTTAATTTTGGTTTTTTTTTGTAATACTCCAGCCAGACATGATTTGACCTCAGGGTTGCCTGAGTAAACAGTTTATCTCTGGCTGAAATACTCGGATTTGTTAACCATAAAATGAGTTTAAAATGGAATAAATTGAATTGTTACATCTTTAATTCATATCTAAAAACTGTATAATCATTTAAATGAAATATCAATGCAAATGGTCAGAAAAAAATTTACATAACTTAAAAATTGCTCTAGATTTAATATTAGAAGTACTAAAATTAGAGCTGTTAAGTGGAAAAGAAGAGGGTTGATAAATTTCTTACTGAGAGGAACTTTGGTTTGGATCTGTGATTAATGACTTGTGAAAGAGAGCTTGAAGTAACCTAGCATGTTGTATTTGTTAGTTAATATACTTTTTCCCCAAAGTTACGATTTGAGTATCTCAAGGATAGTATGGGTTAATTTTACAGTAACAAAACATGAAAGCAAATGCTAACCTTGCTCTGCTATCAGCACATAAAGTTGAAATTAATTTCAGCTTTTCAATGTACAAAAAAAAACTTAAAGGAAATACAGTTATGAATTTAGATAATTATGAATATCAATGTTCAATAAAACATGGCAGTTTAAATAGCTTATTTTATTAAGTACATAAAAAAGTAATTGTTTTAAATTTCAATAAAAATTAAAATAAAATGTCAACTTAAAATTTTGATTGTGTTATTGAGAAGTAATGGGGTAAGAGTTAAATATTGTCAGAACAAAACATGGCATTCTTAAACAATTATTCAGAGTTTTGACTCCCTTTTACAGACACTCAGTGGATCCACTAACATACAAGATGAAGATGATGTCACTGAACTTTTGAATGCCATCTCAGCAGCAAATGTTAAATCATCACCTCCCACAAGTCAAATCCAACATGAACGACCTAGGTTACAAAAGCAAGACACGGATTCTGTTTTATCATCCTTACTTGCATCACTTGAACCTCCTCCTTCACCCCCAGAGTCTTTGCCCTCTATAGATCCACGTGAGTTTGACTCACAGTGGGAGAGTGGTTACAGTGATAATGAAGCAACTCCAGATTCAGTTTCTATAAAATCCCGACAGTTTTTCAAAAGTGGATCTAGTCCACCAGCAGGCTACACCAATATAGTTCATGATATGAGAAACATACCTAAACCAAGCATTAGTGATGCACATGAAGTTAATCATACAGATGTGAAACAACTCAGCTCACTATCAAATAATGGACTTGCTCAAGACAATAGTAATGGAGACAAAAGTAGTGATGATGATGATGATGATGATGATATTGACATTGATGATGAAGATGTATTTGACATGCTAAGAGACAACAGCCAGCTTATGATTAACATGTTAAATGAGCCTGACGCCACATTAGGAGAGGAGACAGCCGATGGTAACAAAACAGACAATCAAGATCTTCCTAGGAATGGGAATTCTCTTGATGAGATAGGAAGACCATCTGATGTGCCACCGCCAATCCCAACCACACCTTTACCCTCAGATGATGATGAGCCACCAGTCAAACCACCTCCAAGAGTAGAATCTTTGCCAAAGTTTTCAGGGAATAATTCCTATTCTACACCAGTTGTAAATGGTACAGTTAGTGGACGTGACAGGTAAGACTCAAATGAATTTACTTTCCTAATTTGCATGTAAAATTAAGGTCTCATCAGCATACACTATTAGGAATAGAGTGGTACTTTTTCAATGGGAGGGTAGAATTGTAGGATAGGTTTTTGGATAATTGATGAATAGACCAGTTAACTGAAAAATGAATAGACCTCAGAGAGAATGGCAAGTAAATGTAGAGTTTTAGTTTGAAGTCTGCTCTCTCAACCATTATGAGATCAAATCCAGATTGTGGATATACAGTGGTGCCTCTCACTAGTTTAGTTTCCTAGCAACATCCTTCCATTGGAGTGCTTTAGAGTATGAATACTAAGTTTTAATTTTATTTTGTGTGTTTTGCTGTAGTAGAGAGGAGCCGCTACCTGCAACAGAACCATTGATTGATGTGAATGAAAATGGTCGCTACACAGGACATCAGCTCAATGACCTTATTAGGACTGTACAAGAAAAGCTAGACTCAAATGTTCCTGCAGAAGAGTTTAAGGTGTGTACATCAAAGTTGGCTTTTGGTTTCTCTTGTAGGAACTAAATGCCAATTTACTCGTATGAAAATGGTTCAGAATACTTTGATGCAAATTTCCTCTGTTAATCTTGTAGGCACTGAGAGAGATAAAGCAAACAGATGGATGTGATACAGGGAAGAGACCAGCAAACAAGGAAAAGAACAGATACAGAAATGTGCTGCCTTGTAAGTAATTAATCTGTGGTCATCAATGCTTTACATGACTGTGCTCTTTTTTTCACCCTACTTATAATGATGAGAATTGTGGTAAGAATCCGCTTTCTTTTTGTTCAGGGTACTAACTAGATTAATTTATTTTTAACTCTAGTTGACAAGACAAGAGTTAAGTTGAGTGGAGATGGAGACAATGATTACATAAATGCCAGCTATGTGAAGGTGAAGTGTTTGTCATTGAAACTATTTGTCTTATGTTTTGTGTGCCAAGGCCAAATGGAACTATCTGCTAGTGGCTGACTTACGGAATTATGTGTTTCTTTGGCCATACCCTGTCAGGGATCCAATGTGCTCACTTGATTTATAGTTTTATTCCAGTTTTACTCAATTGTTTGTATTTCATGAACATTTCAGATTCCAGTTGGTGATGACATCTATCACTACATTGCCACTCAGGTATTGATAAGAATGTATTTCTTATAGACTGATAAGGAGAGTGCCCTAGCCTCCTACATTGATCACATGATAGTTGCAGCTAACCTCCTGATCAGTTAGATTCCTTGAGTAGAATTGTGATTGTCTTTGCATTAGTGAAAGATTTCACTTGACTGAACTCAATCATGTTTTTGTTTTAGGGCCCTCTCCCCAATACTACTGAAGATTTCTGGCAAATGATCTGGGAACAGGAAGTGATAGTTATTGCAATGGTAACACTAGAGCAAGAGGGAGGAAAGGTAAACAATTTCACACTGTTTATTATTTTTTTGTGTTAAGCAACAATTGAAATGTTATACACAAGATGATGCAATTTATTACTCTGTCTATTACCTGTAGGGATTACCCAAAGGCTTGAATGTCTACAATGTTTTTTCCTCAGGTGAAGTGTCACAGATATTGGCCCGAATCTGAGGATCAACCTTTGGTTTTCAGAGAAAGGTTGGTGTATACATTTACTATTAAACAATAAAGAACTGTTTAGTTGGTTGATTCCTCTTACTATTTCAATACACTATCAAGCATGCTTTTGATGAGAATTTAGAAATATACCAACTTTTAATCTTTAACTATCTTACTGACAGCAGTTGTACATTCATTTCACATAATGTTCTGGGGTCACCTGGCTACGAAAAGAGAGCTTCCTCTCGCAGAAATTGGTTGCTTAATTTTGACATTTTCCATCTTGTCTTTGTTTAATGAAGTATGTCAGTGAGTCTTCAAAGAAAGGAGGATTTTGATTCATTTGTTGAAAGAGAATTTGAAATCAACAACCTTCAGGTAGAGTTGACAAACAACCTTTTACTGGAAGTAATTTTAAAAGTAGTTCTTGATTTGTTTGTGTGACTTAATCTTTGTTGTATAATGTTATCTTAACCATTTACATCCTAACATCAGTATTTATCTTCTCCATACTGTTATCTATACATTTCCTAAGGTGCTGAAAAGGAGAATTTGTTCAACAATCAATAGCTTATTTAGTTGGTGATCATTTTCTTTATTCTCATGATCTTAAATGAATAATTCAGCCGTATTATTGTAAGGAGAAACTAGATGCTGGTCACTCTTAGTGTTTAAAGGGTTAATGCGATGCAATCGGGTTAAAAATGGGGCAACCAAGGCTGGAAAAAATGTTAATATCAAAACCTTTGGTAAAATCGATTTGAGGGTCTTTGCACTTCTTCTATGTACCTCTTCTATACACTGTAAGTTGGTAATAAAAAACATTGAATAAAATTTGTGTAATTGATTGTAACACTACCTTAATAACAGTGTATGTTACTTTGCTAATACATATGATTGTGTCTTTTAAAATCTATAGACTGGTGAAACTAGAACAGTGTCTCACATTAACTTTACCACATGGCCTGATCATGGTGTACCAAAGGTAGTTTATTAAATCAGTTTTCATAATAAACAAATGCCTTTTATTTATAAAGCAATGAATATGAGTTATTTATCAATCAAGGAAAATAACACTGAAAGTTTTACCATTTTACTCTGTCAAAAGAAATGAGGGCTTCAGTGCAAACCTGGGTTGTTTTCTCAGAGGGACAGAGGGAAGTACTCTCTTACTAGTTTTTTGGCTGTCACCTTGCATGGCACCACTTACTAAGGAACTGTAATGTACTTAAATTAAAAAAAAATCAAGGGCACATTCACTTTTTTTTATGGGTTCTTTGAAATGCGGAATTTTGACATGTATGTGTATTATGAATTGAGCAAATATTTTTGTTTACTTCCAGACTGCTGTGGAGTTAGTTGAGTTTGTTCGATTTATGCGGCTTCTTGCTGATGGTCCAGGGCCAATTGTTGTTCACTGCAGGTGAATTTACTTCAGTCTTACTCAACAATCATTCTCTAAAGCAGAAGGAAAAATGTTGAAAAATTCCTCAAGATCTGGTGTTTTTAGTAAAATAACTCCAATGACGTGTGGAGCAACTGAATATTGAATTACTTTTTAACGGTATCTTGAAAAGTACCAGTATTGCTTCAGTGTCATAATCACTTTGTGCTGGGTGATTACATTGAGATATTATGTAACCCTCAACCAATCAGTATGCTCCTATCTCTATACTCACTTGAGCAATCATACCAAAATGTCTTAGTATTAAGGGGACTCTGGTATTCCATTTCATTACTGGTTAGTAGTGAGGAAAAATGTTCTCTTACTGGGGAGAGTCAATGTGACTCCACCCATTGCTCATGTTTTTACAAAATGACCATGGCAATATTGTTCAAGAAAATAGTGTCTAATTTTTTTTTCTTTTTCCATGCTGTAGTGCGGGAATAGGTCGGACTGGTGCTCTCATTACAATTGATGTGGCCATGGGACTCATGGAGAGGGATTTATTGGTAGGCTATAGATTTTACAAAAGAAAAATGATTTCTTGTTGAGTCAACATAGTTTTTTTGTATGTTTTACTACATCATAAAAATGAGTGAGTTGAGACAAGCAGCTAGTCTATGTCACGTTTATAAGTAGCCAATTTGCCTGTTGAATCCCCATGGGGCATGTGAAATTGCCAACCATGGAGAGATCATCTTAAGCAAAATCCAATCGTGATCCTCTGGATGTTGATGTCTATCTGATTATGTTGTGTGCATTCCATTTTGCAGTTTGATGTTAACAAAATTATCAGGAATCTGAGGGAGCAAAGGCAAGGCATGATTCAAACCAAAGTAAGAACACATATTTGATGTTTTTTTAATCAGAGTTTTTGACAAATTGTAAAAAAACTTGGAAAATAGAAGAGCTTTGTTGCATTAAGTACACCACAAAGATTAGAGACTGTTATCATTTGGTTGTGACATCCTTAAAGTAAAAAATGATCTAAAAAAAATTTGTTATTTCTCTCCAACAAAATTGTTACTGTTAGAATTTCAGTCCGTGTGATGTTTATAAAGCTCTAACTAAGTTAGGATTTGGGATAAATAATTCAAAAGATACTACTTATGCAAGTGAAAGACATATTCCTCCTTGATTCAACCCCTTCCACCCTAACATCAGTATCCATATTCTCCATACTGTTCCCTATACATTTCCTATGTTGCTGGCAAGAGAACTTGTTTAACAATCAAGAGTTTCTTTGGTTGGCAATCACTTCCTTTATTCACAGGTGTTAGGATGTGATTCAGAGGTGATATTGTAAGGAGAAATTAGATGTTAGTCATTCTTAGGGGTCAAAGGGCTAAACCACTTTTTTTGTTTTTTGTTTTTTGTTTTTTTTTGACAGGATCAGTACATTTTCTGTTACAAGGCATGTCTGGATGTGCTTCAATCACTGAAAACTACCTAGAGGAGTCATTTTACCTATGTAATTGAATGACAGTTGCATATCATGTTCTTTACATGAAACCATTTTTTATAAATTCCTAGGTATTGTTAAGTTATTTGTACTTCATATTCCTCAAGAGGCATTTTTTAGGTTTTAGATTTTCTGCCCTTTTTAATAAAATATATGTCCTTGTGCTTTTAACTTAGCTATAGCTAGGATGATATATAGTTATTTTAAAATGATAAAAAGTTAGATATCCTTGTGCTCATTAACTTAGCTATAGCTAGGATGATATATAGTTATTTTTAAATGATAAAAAGTCAAGAATATTTTAATATTTGCATTTACCATGGTGTGTAGAATCTTAAGTCACTACACATGAATATGTATTTGCATCACATTGTCTTAAGCACTATTTCATTTGTTACGTTCTGCAAATATACAGATAACATATGTGTTCATAGTATTGTAGTTATGTCGTGAATTTATGAATACAAAACTTGTCTACTGGAATAGTCAAGAATGGAGTGATAACTGCAGTGAGGTGTTACAGCTAGATATGAATAATTCAATGTTTATCATTAATGATAACATAGCAGGAGGAGGAAAATTATTTTTTCCTTCATCTGTTAAGTTATTGGTAATGATATATTCTAGCAAGGATATCTACGTACATGTTTACTGGCTGGGCATCACTGTGATGTTTGATTGCTAACACCTTTTTTTTAAAAGAAGGAAATTATTACCTGTAGACATAAACACAACATTTTGTCAGTTTTGAAGCATATACTTAAAGTAAAGTACCAATACTTAAATAAGTTATTACAGATATGTTTCAGTTCTTATCCTGTTTGATACCTTTTTACATCTACAATAATTTTGTAGCTCTACTTGTCTGATGTTGCGTGTAATTATTACATTTGAACTTCAATGAGTATCTTACTGTTAATGTCTCCAGCCATCCAGTAGTGTTTTAATAATTTATCATATAGTTTTAGAGAAAATTGTAATATTAGAGCCTTGGCTGCTAAGGACTGCACAAAACTGATTTTTGGAGAACAGAGTTGATTTCTTTGGCAACCTGTGAACTCCTCTGGTCTTCAAATCTGTGTGTGTGCTTGGGAAAGAGGGGAGAGTCATTCAGATTTATCTGATTTTAGGCTTTTAACTGTATATATGAGGTTATATAGTACAAGTGTTGACAAGTAGTCATGTTGTAGATTATTCTAAGCAACAGTTGTAACCAATTCTAAACTAAGTGGATTGGAGTAGCAATACAATGTACCATAAGTTAGAATAGTTTATTCTAAAGCTCTAGCAATTGAGCTTCTGTACCATGGCAGGAAAACAACATAAAATGAATGTGCATGTTAACTATCAGTGAATAGGGTGAAATAATTTTCTACATTTTAATGAGTTATTTTAAAATGTCCAAAGCATTAAGCACAGTTCAGAAGAATTGTGAGCGCAAATGAAGTAAAAAGTTTGCCTTTGAAGAGCAACAAATTATTTTACCACTTTGTTTGGATGTGTTCCTTTGCAACCTTTTTAACATCCTTCCAAATGGAAGCACTTAAGGTTATTGTTAGACTTTGGAGGCGATATTCTGAGATGCCTTGGTACTTCAATGCACCTACCCCAGGGTTTTAATAAGCCTTGACAGTGGGAAATTCTATTGAATTATCCTCCAATTTGGTACCTTCAGAGTTTCATCAGTTGTTAAAGGGTGAACTCAAGGGCTAGAGGTCTGGTATTGTTGGGGGGTTTTCGTGAGTATCATCTGCCACCAAAAGAATATTCCAGGGTATCATAATCTGGGTTCCTACCCCTCCCCTAATCCAACAACAGCAAACTTATAACAATTTAGGCTTAATTTTGGGTTAGGGGAGGGGTAAGTGCACTTTTACTAAGAGCTGATATTGATTGGTTCTTACAAAGGGATACTTTGAGGTTGCAGGTTGGTATTTTTAGTGCACCGAAGTTCATGCAGAAAGAATCCTTAAAATGTCCGGAAAACCCCCCAAGAAACTTAAACTATAATAGACATGTGTTAATTTAGGAGTGGATTCGGTAAAACCTTGGCTCTGTTAGGAATTAATTTGGCTGTTGTAGTTTTTTAAGGTATTTTGTCACAATTTTGATCCACCCTTGGAGAAAAAAGTTGGGGGTAACTCAAGGGGAACGTGAAATCTAGTAAGGACTTTCATCTTCTTTCAGTAATTTTTAATGGACCTCCCGTGGCCTGGCACTTCTTTGGTGTAGTTTTACTTTGGGTGAAAAAACTAAAGAAAATAATGAGGCCAAGACAGAGGTAACAGATTACACCATACTCTTTCACCAATACTCATTTACTAAGGGAACATCAACACTGAGGCATGAGAGAATTGGTAAACAAACATTTTTTTTTATCTTTACAATTAGGTTCGTTATGAACCGCCCTACCTCTAGGTCCTATTCCTCAATAAAGTTAAAAACATTTACACATTATAACTGATTGCAACCTGGTCAGGATGTAATATTGTTGCCAAATGACAATAAAGCTATCATAAAACCTTGAGGAATTCTTACACAATTTCATTCCCCAATCAGCCATCAACTACGCTATAGAGGCGATCGTGAATGAATACATTCATGACCAAAGTCGACTGAAAGGGGTCTGTAGTCTCTCAAAATTCGTGTTAACTACCAAATCTGTACAATGTACCAACAAGTTTTAATAATTATGCCAGTTAACTTGTCCGCTATATACTATTAGTGCTATGTCTTAATAAGGAGGCAGTCCACTGCCTTTCGTCATAAATTCCCTGTTTTTATAATTCTACGGCGCCTTCTTCTCGTTCAGCAATGATCCCCACTCGAAGTCTGTCAACTTCACGTAAGTAATCTACACCGACATACACTAGTCCAGCGCTGGAGGCCAGCGCCATAATGGCTCGAATCACTTTGTAGTCTGGGGAAATCTCCTTACAAATCGCCCAAAGCATCAAAGAACCAAAGTTGAACATCCATGTGCCGAAAAAACTCCATAAGAGACGTTTTGACCTAGGAGAATCCATGACATCAAACACGGGTCTGTTGTACAGATATGTGGCCATACCAATCCCTGACAAGGTCAGTGCTCCGTGGAACACAACTGATCTCGCATTCTTTCCGATGATAATCTGCTCTGCATAAACTTTCATTGAATGAAGTGCAAGTATAGAGTAGCCAGCTAGACCACCGTAAGGTAGGTATTTCACAAGGGCTTTCTTCGCATCTCTCAAACTAATACTGGCCGCCATTTTGAAATTCCCGTAGGTAGTGTCCAGTCCCTATGTGTAATACGATGAAAGCGCACCAAGACTTCTGGGATTGCGGACAAGAGCATCAGCCAACACTGCTCGCATTAGAGTGAAGTGTAGTTTGAACATACCATAGCCGCTATATGCACGCAAAAATATGCACGGATATTTGTTCGCAGACATAATCTGTTGCGAGATGCGAAAGGAGCGCCCGAGGAAAACTGTGAACTTCGAGAAACAGGTAATGTTCGAGGAAAAACATACCCGGCGAGCATATTTTCGCGCCAAACAGAGGCTATTGTTTATTGTTTATTTTTATAAAATAATTTAAATAGTACGCGCGCTCTGATTGGCCATAAAACCATTTGACATGAGCGTATGTAAACACGGTTTTCGTTCCTCTTTCATTAGTTATTTTATGAAAGACGCTTCGGGTCGTGGTTTCCTACGCTTATCTCGTGTTCTCCCAATCTCACGCGTGTTTACATCATGCTATGTAAACACGGAAACCATTTTACATTTCTTCAGTTCAACACGCGAGAAAAGTGTTTACGAACAGCTTACCGTTTACGGCGGAGGATGTTCACTTTTCAGTGTTCTCTGGCACGATTTTGTGAACAATAAAAACGTTCCTTTTTCTGTAACAACCACACAACGCTTTCTCATCTTGAATTAAATTTCAAACGCAGAGTTTTCTCTATTAGACGTAAGATTTAAAACCTGGGAAACATCAGTTAGGGAATAATCCTCGCTTATGATTCATCAAATACTTTTGCTTGCGCGCGATTGGTCTTCTTAATGCAGTACTGGGTGATATCTAAGAACATCACCCAAGCGATATTCCCTAATTCTTAAGGCTTACGTCCAATGCCATAAGTCTTCGTTTCAAATTTAATACAAGATGAAAGAGCGTTTTGTAGTTGTAACAGAGGAGGGGAAATCTTCTTTTGTTCATTAAGTCGTACCAGAAAACACTCAAAGAAAACAGCCCAAGCTGCATACAGTGAGCTGTTCGTAAACCTTTTTTTCACCCGTATTGTATAGCATTTGATGGATGTTAAATTTAGTAGCCTCTATTTGGGCGAAAATATGTACGGATATTTGTCCTTGGACATTATCTGTTCATCGAAACTCGCAGTTTTCCTTAAGCTTCACTTTCGGAAAACTGTTCGCATCTTGAAAAAGATAATGTCCGCGTACAAATATCCGTACACATTTTCGTGCCAAATAGAGGCTATGGTTTACATACCCCCCAGTTTTAGCTGGGGATATTTGGTCTCTGATCACGGTTTGACCAATCGTGCGCGAGCAAAATATTTGTCGGATTACAATGACCGTGATCGCCATAGTTATACAAAAATGTTAAAAGCGGTGAACCACGTAAGAATTCACCTCAGTAGCATCCACAGGGGACAGTGGAATAGAAATCATCACAGTGTGATTAAGGAACACCCGCCCGAGTTGGCCTGTTAGTACCAAACTCCCTGTGGGAGAAGAAATGGGCGAAAAATTCCTGACAGGAAGAAAGGGACAACAAGGAGAGCTAAAGGAAAATAAACTTCCCATTTCTGACTTTCAGTGACGTGTTCCTCGGGGATCAATGGTTAAAAATTGCAGTATTTATAGATCTTTCACCTCGATCACTTAAAAAGAACATAAATGAAAAAAGGGGGTAAATTTCTGAAGAAAATATGGTGCCGCGTCTTTGGAGGGTATTACAAAATAATTCGATCGATCAACTGAGTTGATAATGTAAATTAGCCACTGTAAAGAGTTTCTAGATCTGACGTTTGGAGCGTTGGTCCTCACCCCTTTGACAGATCGACCGTTGCTGCCGATACACAATACAAATCCAATACCTATCAAATTACTGACGTCACGCGTTATGGACCTCTTAGGGCTCTCAACATTTGGTGATGTGACATAGCATTAACATATCATCGACTACGGCCATCTCTTTGTTTAAAGCCCTCATAATGGCGTCCAGTAAACCTAACTACACAGACCGTGGTTCTAGGATATCTAAGGAGAATCTATGCATGGTTATTGCCCTATGGATGGGAGAACGTCAACTTCAATCTGAAGAGGACGACTCTTACCATAAAGTTGGTGCTGTACTTGTGCGTCCTGACGAAATAATTCATACCGTTGATTGCAGCCGTGATGGCGTCCATGGAATTGCACGGTTGATGATTAAGCACTATGATGTGGCTAAAGATTGTAAAGTCTTTGTGTCGAGAAAGCCGTGCTCCTTTTGCACAAAGCTTCTGGTACAGTCTCAAGTTAAGAGGGTCTTCTATCTACCTATTAAGCCTGAGTACAAAGCTGAAGAGAAATTAAAGGAGGAAATGTCACGTGTCGATAACTTGTTCAAAACAAGCTGCATAAGCCAGTCTGTTTTCGTCCCTAAAGTAGGGAAAGAGGTGTTTGCCAACGCCGAGAAATTAAAAGAAACGCCTAAGGATATTAGAGATAGCATAAAAAATGAGCGGTTTGCACAGTACTGGATTGAAGACTGGATGGAGAAAGCCAAAACTCATCTTCCATGGCCAGCTTTTGATGATAACATGAAACAACAGGTTCGAGATGATTTCGAGGAGACCATGGAATGGATGGCTCGGATTTTAATCGGAGTGGAAAAGGGATACACAGTTAAGCAGATCAACGCCACGTCAAAGAACGGGACCGTCTCCTTTGACCCACAGAGAAATGAATTGCACAAAACTGCTTCTCTTCGTTTTATAACCTTGGCTCAATTTTTAGCCGAACGATCAGACGATCCGAAAACAGGAGTGGGGGCGGTGATTATCAACGAATCGCAAGAGATCCTTGCTCTTGGGTGGAATGGATTCCCCACAAAGGCGCTTTATGGCGAGTTTCCAAGGGCTTCACATGACGACAACGCTGAAGACAAGAAGTACCCGTACATGATTCACGCTGAACAAAACGCCCTGCTCATGCGGAACACCAAGAGCCTGACGCACGGAATCTTGTTTGTAACGAAGACGCCGTGTGATGAATGCACCCCACTTATTGAGATGGAAGGTATAAAAACTGTTATTCTGGGCCAAAAATTGAAAATAGAGAGAGGGACAGACGGAACATTGAGTTATAGTAAGTTCGCTGAAAAAGTTAAAGGTGGTGTCTTCAACTGTTTTGAAATGGAGATCACTGAAAATAAACCTCCTCCCGAGAAAGCTGTACAAAACCTGTCTCAAATGTGAAGAGTATCGGAGCTGAGGAAAAAGTTGACTGTTTGTGCATTTTTCGGTGTGGAAAAAATTTTAAATAAAATTAATTAGATTTAATTCGGTTTAAGTTTGAGGGGACTGACCGTGAGAGTGATTTTGAAGTTCAGTCTCAATTTTTTTGTCTTATCTATTTCCTTTGAGTCAACTGTTAATGGTCTAGCCGTCTACGTCTTGTGTTATATGAATGGAAAACTTGATTTTTGATAAAATTAAAGTTAAAATCAGTTTCTCCAATCAGGCACTTGTGGATTGCAGTGCAACGATGAAAAAACCTTTCCGCAAGAAGGTTTTTGCATTGCAATCCACAAGTGCCTGATTGGGGAAACTGATTTTAACTTTAATTTTATCAAAAATGAAGCTGTCCATTCATATAACACAAGACGTTCCAATGATCTTCGTTTACCCCTACCTCGAACTAACTGGGGTAAACAAACATTTATCTATCAAGCTGCGAAAGACTGGAACAGTCTTCCAAATGTTCTGAAAGAAACACATCTCTTATCTATTTTTAAATCCAAGCTGAAAACTTTTTCAAAAGATTTTGATTAATTTTAAACTTTGATATTTCGATTAGTTATCGATTTTAAGATTTTGACTCTTTTTAAATTATTTTTTATTTATTTATAAACACATTTTATTTTATCTATTTATTTATTTTTATTATTATTATTATCATTATTATTTTATCAATTAAGGTAATTTATTGAATTAATTTAATTAATTAGTTAATGAGGGCCCCACTGAAAACTGCTGTGGCGAGTTGGGCTCCCTTGTTAATTAGTTATTATTATTATTATTATAACTGAGTTCAAATCAAATGGCATAGGCTTATATCAAGATCAAGCAATGAATAAAATTTCGTATGAGTCAGTCTTGCATTTTGTTATTGAATGGAAATTACCGTTGTCCACACACATGTTTAAATCAGGTGTCTACTTTCCATTGATGAGTGGACAAAATACCTTCTGAAGATGAACTGCTGATTAACATCACAAGAGACAGCAGATCAAAGTAATGACTTAGCTCTCTAACACAGACTCCTTTGAAGTCGCCCAGTCCGCCAAAAAATATAATCAAAGGGCTCTTGGAGCCAGCTCATTCATGTTGTGGCTTAAGTTTGTATTGATATCTTAGAGTTGTTAAATATAGGTACAGTTGAATTCGGTTTATGTGAAATTCCAAGACTTATGGAATAAATTTTCTTTTCTTTTTGGGCAGTTGTGTGATAAGAAAACTTGTGCATTTGTCGTAATAGGATTTGGAAAAAAGGTTGTGTGGGCTGGAGGTGGGATGGGCAGAGGTCATCAGGCAGACAGTGTCCTTTTTGTTGGTGTGTGTGTGTTTGTGGGGCGGAGGGTGGGCTGTGTGGGCATAATCAGGCATCAAAGGTTGCTCTAGCAGCAAAATATTTGTAACCCTCATCTTTCACGATCATTTGCACTATTGTGAAATATTCCTTGCCCGTTTATTGATATCTTTTGTTTTTAACAAAGCAGCCGTTGCATTTGGTTTTTAACAAAGCGGCCACAATCGTTATTAACCCTTTCACTCCCAAAAGTGATCAAGACAGAATTTCTCCTTACAATATCAATCCAATATCAAGCAGGCAGGTGATGAGAATAGAGAAGAATATCAATCATGGGATTATTGGTTGATCCAATACCAAATTCTCTAAACTAACATCATAAGAATTGTATGGCAGATAGTAAGGAGAATTACTAATTAGATCTGGGGAGTAAAAGGGTTAATAGAATTTTGAGCCTTCATATGGTCTGATTTTCACCTATTAATATTTGCGTAGTCACCAAACAGATGAGAGATAAGCTAAGAGATAAAACCACCAAGGACCAAGGACCAAGTGCAGAGCTGTCAATTGTTTCTCGAATATTGCGCGTGTTAAATATTCGATAGTGACATCTTATTTACATCTACATCTACATCCACTTTCATTAAGTTGGTAAATTCTGTACAGACATCACACCAACCAACTCGCGCGCAAAGTAAGAAGCCTCTAGGAAGGCTTGAAATTATACGTCTGTGATCAAGAAACGGGCAAGGAATAGTGCACAGTAGTGCAAATAATCTTAAAAGATGATCGCGGAAAAGCGATTGTGTGACGCTCGGTAAGTTGTAAGATGACATGCTATCACGTATCAGACGAAAAAACAATATAAATTGTCAGTCTACGTTTTGCACCCGGTCTGCAGTCTGCATTTTGTATCTAGTCTGAATTTCATACCCGGTCTGCAGTCTATGGTGGCCCACAACTGTCACGGCAAAACAAAAAGTCACGGCACTACCAACTTTACTTACGACAAAACAAAATTAACTCACGGCAAAATACCACTAATTCACGGCAAAACAAAATCAACTCACGGCAAAACACCACTAATTCACGGCAAAACAAAATTAACTCACGGCAAAACAAAATCAACTCACGGCATAATTAGGCACGGCCCTGAAGTGATTGGGTGGCTCGTGTTCAACCCTTTAACCCCTTAGAGTGACTAGCATCTAATTTCTCCGAACAGTATAACCCCTGCATCACACGGTGAGGTAATGAGAATCAAGGAAATGATCACCAACTAAATATTCTCTTGATTGATAAACAAATTCTCCTCGTCAGCACCTTAGGAATTGTATAGAAAACAGTATCGAGAACATGCATACTGATGTTAGGGTGTCAAGGGTTAATTAAAAACGGACTCCTGTTTATTATTGGTACGATTAGAGCTACGATCTCGGTAGTTAGTTTAACTCCGTCAGGCTACAACACCAAAAATCATCTGTCGTTATACGCAATTTGGCATAAAACATATTTCGTATTATTATAGCTCAGACGTGAACTGTCACTTGATCACAGCAGTAGTCTAGTGGAACCTGGATGCGGCTACAGTTTTAATTTCTTATCTTGGGCGACATGTTCAACAATGAATTTAAGAGCTGTGAAGCCAAAATGGCTGAGTAGGAATCTTTCAATTCAGTCCAACAATGTGTTCAACACAAGTCATATTTACGATAATATACCGAAACTTTCACGAATGTTCACGTATGAAACACGAAATGTTTTTTTTCCTTTTAGTTTACTAAGTAAAAACTTCAGGGTTATTAAGGGTGGGAACAGCACTCGAGTGAGAAGCAACAGCAGCTGTGTTCTCAGCCAACTGTTGGTCACTTTCAAACACAAGTGGCATGTTCATATGTTCACTGTTACTGGTGGATTCTGTGGACGGAGTTTGCATGCTGTAGTCTTGAATACCATGTTCTTCGCCTGTTGTGATCAAACTGTTGTCATCTTCAACTGTAAGTTGTTTAGCTTCGTCAGAAGCTGCTTCCATTGGAGTACAGACACCTTGCGCGGTTTCTAAGGGGGCAGACTCTGTTTGAGAAACTCCACAAATATCGGTAGCAAACTGCGCATTAGTTTGTTGTGGCGTCCCTGTGATTTGCACGGGAGCTGTGAAAGACTGGGCACTCTGTGCGACAAGTTTCTCCTCTTGGTTTCCAAGTAAAGAGTCACTGTTTTCACTATAATCTCTCACAACTCCCTGTCCACCCGGTAGTGACTGCAAAACTGATTCGGTCACCATGTCCATTGGTCGTGTTTCCATGGTAAGAAAATTCTCACTCACATCAGTTTGTGATAGACTGTTAAGCTGTGTGTTTCCAGCTGCCTGTACAGTGGTAGACGTTGGCGCGTTAACCACTGGTGACTGTTCACTTGTTCTTTCACTCTCTGCTTGTCCGTCAGCCTACAGGAAATTTAAGGTTTTTGTTACAATTGCATGAAATGGTCAATTAGAAATTACATTAATGAGGGAAAAGACAGAGAGAACTCTCTTTTTGCATAGGGGTACGTGATGGTTTCTGGCGCATAAAACTCCTTCGAAACGTGGTACCTGTTGATCATCAAAGACGACTTCCTTAACCAGTGACGTAAAGTCCATTCCAAGAGCCTGGCGCTTGGTTTGCGGTTCACCCTCGACGCTCTCTTCTTCACAATTAGCTTGTTTTGTGTCTTCCCTGGATGTTGCTGCACTGAGAACAGCTTCAACAGCTGCTTGGGCCGTCATCACCTGCCCTGGAACTAAAAAAAAGTGAAATTTTCACATAAAGCTCTAGCAAGTTTAAATGAACGCGTCGAATCCTGGCTCGGATCTTTAAGAGATTGATTTAATGAGAAAATAGAGAGCAGACGATAACTCAAAGTAAAAATGAGCAAACTGCTTGAAGTGCGGGAAAACACGAGTGACCGAATCTCGATTGGTTTTGGTTTAGGATATCATTGGCCAAAAGAGTGGCGCGAATTTTCTCGACAAATCAAAGACCGTAGAGAGGCAAAACCAATGCAAACCTCTATATTCATGTGAAAATTGCTCCAGTTTTGCGCGATTCTGTGTAACACAGGCTCAGTTTCTGCTGGTGGCCTATGGAGTCGGTCTTCCATTTTTCCCAGGAAAAAAAAATAAGGAAGGGCGTGGGCAGACTTATTATTCATATAATATTATTTTGTAGCTATCTCCCGGACAGCGTGTAGTTATCGTACCTATTTTCACATGGCATAGTTATATGGATATTGACACATGCAAAGTTTTGAGGGTAACTAGACTGAAGGACAAAACAAGATTAAATAAAAGAAACAACCTTAACATTTTTTACCAGCATAGGACAAATAAAAAATCGATTCCAAAGAGAATTACCAGAATCGTGTGCCTGACTGCTGTCTGCTATCTGGACTGTTCCAAGGTTTGAACCAACTCTAATCACAGGGCTAGTACCTCCTGCAGATGCCTGCAGTGCAGAGTCGAGCATGCTCAAAATGTTACCTGACTGTCCATGAGTTGCAAGGTAAGCTGCAGACACAGGCACTTGGTTGATACTGTCCGTTTGTTGAGATGTTAAGAAAGCCACAGCACCACGACTGCTGTCCAGTGCTTGTGGAATGAATGCAACAGTTTGGGGGGTTGCTGCTGACCCCTGTGTCTGGGCTGTTGTGTTGGCTTGCGGAATGAATGCTACTGCTTGTGAACCAGCTGCAGAATGTAGTGAAGCATGGCTCAAGCTTGCCACCTGTGATGCTGGTATGGTTAAAGAGAGTGTTGTTGGTGTCTCAGAATCTGATTGACCAGAGAAGAAACTGCTGGCATTCACAACTATTACAACTTGACCTGTGTGGAAATCATTGCAAAAAGAAGGTATAAAAATTGTGAAAATCAATAAAGACACCCCTTTTTCAAAAGGAAGACACTTATAATACATAATAATCCTTTTCATCCTTAAAGCTGTCTAAGGACCACATGCTACTTGGTTGGTTGGATTTATATTAAGACAACATCTCCCAGTTGGTAATTTCCTCAATTTAATTACTTGTTTCCTTGTTTTAAACAAAAATTACTGTAAAGAGAATCAATGATACCAAGGCTCAAGTTCAACTTTTTTTAAAATTTGTTTTGGTAGCTTAAAATCATAAAATAGTCAGCATACATAAAGTTCTAGTCCCAAGAGGAAGAAAAAAAAAAAAAAAAAAAAAAGACAGAAAAAAATTGAGACAGAAATGTTTTGCAAGTTTATAGTTCACCAGGTTGGGAACTTACCAGGTTGCAAATTTAGACTCAAAATTCTCTTTTCTTCATCTCATGGTAACTAACCTGGTCTCAGTGTGGAGCCCTGCTTACTAGTGGTTCTGGGGATTACTTTTAGCTTAAATAACAATCTGTCTTCACACAAACCTAAATCATTAACATGGGTACTCTTACCTTCATCTCTACCAGTCCCAGAGCCCTGAGTGATAAGTATCTGTGGCTGAGAAGAAATATCTACTTCTGCTGTTTCTCCTTCACTTCCCTGGATAATTTCTAATTGTTGTGTTTCACTGCCTTGGAAATTTTCCCTGCCAGACTACAAAAGCAATTTCAGTACTGACTAAAAAGCCAAGACATCAATATTTGAGATAAATCAATTACAGTTAAGCATGCTCTTATGGGTGATTTTGAGTGAGTGGCCATCAGCCACAGAAGATGGGCAGGTAAGCAGCATAACAATGCCACCAATGATCATAATTTGTCATGATAGAAATAGATTTCATTTGGACTGAAAATCAAGAAAAGCAATGATCCTCATGCATGCTGCAATTTAAGCAATTGTAGAAAAGCCTGAAAAAAATTCAAACTTCAAAGGGATTTGAACCCACGCCTCCTCAATATTAGTTGGCCCTACTACCAACTGAGCTACGAAAGCCACTACTAATGCTGCAGAAACTCTAAGAGCCTGCTGGCAGACTAAAAAGATTACAAATATAGAAACTTTTTTTCTCCACTATGGATGGGAAAGCTACTGATTACAGTCATTTTGAACTTCTTTCTTTCTTGGCAGTAAAGTCATTTGTAACACTGTTTTTTTTTTAATTTTATGCAGTTATGTAGCTTATTATTTTGTTTACTATGGAACAAAACTAGTCTGAGGCAAGTTCTTGACCTACCTGCTGAATCAACTGTTCTTGTTCTTGATTACTTAACATTGATGGACGTGCTGACTGGTACTGTTGCTGCATGCTAGCCAAAGCCTCAGCTGTCTGAGATGATTGTGATAGTTTTTCTGTTGGATGCTTTCGCTTACGCGTTTTCTCTTTGAGTTGTGGAGAGCTTGGTGGGAGATTTGTAAGCTATAAAATATAAGACAAAAATTCGTTTATTATATTTACAAGATAGTTCTCTAACAGTTTTTACATATAAGTATGTTTACTGAAGCAAATGATCCTGCCAACACGTACCAGAAGACTAAGGAACAACACTTTAAATCTTTCAGGATATTTTAAGCAACACGTGTTGAGAGTGGGAAATTAACATTCTTATTTAACCCTTAACTCACATACCAGGTAGACAAAAGATGAAAAGAAAGAAAAATATTGATTAGGGGGTTATTAATTGATCTAATAACAAATTCTCAGAGCTAAAATCATAAGTATAGTATTGCAGACAGTAAGGAGAATTACTTAAGAGATCTTGAGAGTGAAAAGAAAATTCACAAAGAAAAATTGCACCTAAAGTTTGAATGCACTTGAAAGCAACTAACCAACTCAACTTACTGGGGGAAGTGGCAAAAGAGCTCCAGTAGCTAGTGCCATCTGTGCTTGGTGAATATGATTCTGGATATCAATGATGGTAGGGAAATACGACTTGTTATGTCTGGGAGGTGGTTCTAAGTTGACAAAGAGTTCTTTCTCCACATACTCCTTTAAGCAGTGCTTAACAGTGTAAATCCCAGTGACACCTCGAGCCACGAGTTCACGAATCTTATGCATGACCTCAGGATTGAGACGTTGACCTTGACTGTCACCCTCATCAGGGTCCATGGGAATGTCATCCACATCATGGTATTCATGAGCTAATGGAAGAGGGAGCTGCACATAGTACCTAAAAGATTAACACCAGGATCAGACAATGACCTCACAAGTGGGTTCTCTTTGTGCTGCAAACATCCCTAGGAAAGTAGGAATTAGACTTTCATTAAAAAACCCGAAAATCCACTGACCAGGAGAGCAGAATATGATATAATATAATTGTTCCTTAGAAAGAAGCACTAATTTCCAAATTCTTACTGGTAAAAAAAAAAAGCCTTTATACGGGCCCAAGTGGCCCATGGGGCCAGTGCTTAACTCCGGTTTTCTTAGCATGAAGTGGCTAGGAGTATTGCTACTCCCCCCTGGATGGGATACTAGTCCATCATTTGCAAATGTGCTGGGGGGTAACCCTGCGATGGACTAGCATCCCATATTCTGCTCTCTTACTGACCTTAGTACAAAATATTTTTTTAATCAGAAATAACAATTTAATCTCTGTTTAAGTTACCTCTCTTCTCCTCCATGAACCCCTACAAGCCGTAATGCTGTAAGTGCTCTTTCCTGAGCCTGACGAATATTTTTTCCCTCCAGATTTGGATCTATCCTAAACTCTGGAAATTTGCGCACTTTTTTGATATATATCCTTGCAGGACAAGTTGGGCGATGTCTTTTGACAGGATGGCCATGTTCATCATAGTCAACTTGTTTCTTGTTTACAGAACCTTTTCTTCTTGGACCATATTGACATTCCATAACTGTTGCCCGGCGACCTTAAAAATGTATCATACCTAAGTGTTAATTGCTGGAGTAAAATAACAGTTCAATTAAGTGGATAATTTTTCCCTTTCCAGGATCTTTCATTCTAGTTCATTTTCAAGCTGATATTTTTTGGGTGTGTGTGATCTAACTTTTGCTTTTAGACCTTTCTTAAAAACTCTGCACCTTCTTATAAACCTGATACTGAGAGAAATCACTAAATATAATTTACACAAAGTTAAGTGTTTTAAAATTTACAATCCTATTTGCCTTGATCTTCAAATACTACAATATGTATCTTGTCAATGAGAAAGGTGATGGGAAGAAGAAAAAACATTGAGAAAACTCTGCTTGAATTAAAACCAGACTCTTGGAGCTTAAACTATAAGGAACGTACAACAAACAGGAGAGAAAATTTGTAATACAATCTGGTGAGAAAAAATGCTGATTTGAAGACTGAATGTCAGATACATGTCAAACTGCTAGGGTTACCCTCTTCATTTAAGACCATGGTTAGAACAAATACATCTTTCTTATTAAACCAATGTAAAAACTGGAAGATCATCAGGACTGAGGCAATCAGAGCAGTAAATAAGGCTCTATGATGCAGCTAATGTTACAAGGGTCACCCTCCTAAAAATTCCATTGATGATTGAATTTGATCAAAATTCTTTGGCTCCGGTCCTTGGCACTGATTGATAAAACTAAATTAAATTGTTATCAATGTTCACTTCCTGTAGTGTGGTTCTTTTATATTATTTCAATGACCCCCAAACCAAAGGTGGATCTATAACTAGCCCAAAATACCTGTATTCAGGAATGGTATTCCATCATAAGGAACATATTGGGATTTCCACATAAGACGAATTGATGGTTTAGCTGAAGAAGGGGATTGTCTGGTTCCCCAGCAACTGTTGGTGTGCTGTTTATGTAGCGTGAGGATCAAGTCCAATTCTACTTCAGTGGTAACATATCCCCTGTAGGAATCCCCTATGAGCTCACAGTCGTGAAGCCGCGCAGCCCAGGGGTTATTCGCTTGTACGGCACTCGATAAATTCGCTATTTGCTGAGAAGCGTCCAGTGAGGTACTTGCAGAAATCGCTACATTTTCAGAAGAAATGACCACACTATCTTGAGTGCCAGTCACGCTTACCACCACTGACTCGTGTTGTTGGACTTGAGGTATACTCTCTGACATTTCTTGTCCGCTTAACGTGGCTGAAGCTCCCTGAGTATCTATAGAAATGCTCTGGGTCGCTATCATTGTTTCTGAAGTTGTCATCGTCTCGGGTAAAGCAGATGCGGAGATCGTAGTGATTACGCCAGCTTGTCGAGGAATAGTTTGGATTGTTGTTGGAATACTAGCCGACATTGTGTTTTGGAGAACTTCGGCCGCAGAAACTTGCTCAGAAGCCATGATTTGTTGTTGAATTGACTCGCTCGACAAACCTTCGGCGGAATCCGCCGCCATATTGCATCAAAAACGGCTAACTCTGGTGACTTTTGCGCGTAACAGATGATCACTCTTATCAATGAAACAGTTTCTCGTGTTTACGCTTGAAAACGAGACAGGAAAGGGGCTAAAAATAATAGCGCCAAACTTTTAAGGAGAGCCTCGCTTTACAACGAGACGATGGCCTCGACCGCGTGGAAGAGAGAAGGCCTCCTTTTCATGCTTGACCGCGGAGAACTCTGGGATGTTTGCAATACCCCGGATTAAAATTAAAAGAAAAGAAATATGGGAGACCTATCTTGGATAGGGGCATATGAAAAGGAAAATTAGAGTAAATTGAAAGGAAAGTAAGTTAATTGTAAAAATTAAATCAAACAAAGAGGAATGAGGGTTGTATAACGATAATTGTTTCTTCTACAATACAGGTTCGTCCCTGTCTGCTTGTCTTCCAGCAAGGAACCAATCACTAGCCCGTTATGATGTGCAGGGTGATATATACCTGCTAGCTTTCTTTTTTCTGCCATTGGTAAAGGCGTAGTATAAGCTTTAGAGTGCCTGGGCATTTCCGTAAAGGGCCAGACGATTTCCGAAAAGGCTTAAAGAAATGAACCAAGATTAACTCGATTCCACACCAATATGCAATCAAACGTTTCAGCCAAAGACCGATCATTTTCATGAATTTTTCATTCTCGTATCCACTCAAGTTTAGTTTACTCTCGTATCCCTTCAAGTTTAGTTTACTCCGAGTATTCTTTGAAAAAAATTTGTTAATTTTCAGCTGGTCAGCAGGCGTGAGATGGCGCGAGATTGAAACTTTCCATCTGCGGTAGTAAGACTTGATAGGTCACTATTCTTCAATAAGTTTAAAATCGAAGACAGATTCTACATTAAAAAGGTGAAATCCGCAATCCTAATCGGCTGTCGTCAACATACTTAGCCAAGGTGTAGTTAAGTTAAACACAAGGATGTTTTGAGGCTCACCAAAAAAATTTTGATTGCTTCTGAATACCAGCAAATCCATACAACGATATGATATAATGGAACTGCACAACTGCGTGCGCGTAACCGGCGAGCAAACGAACGAAGGGAGAACGCAAACACAGCGAGTCTGGAGGCGTTTAATCATGCTGTCGCTCATGACCAAAAAGACAAAGGATAGGGTAGATCTATGGTGGACAGGGTTTGGGCAAATGTAATACAGCGATCAGACGAGATAACTTGTAAGCTTCGGATGACAAAAAAAAAAGAACAGCTACTATTCTTATCAGCTTCCTAACCAACTAGGAGCATTGTGTGCGTCTACCTTCATGTGGCATTTGAATTAAGAGAATTTTGTGTTAGCTTTATTCATAGACGCCAAAATTTGATATCAACAACATTCTCGTTCCTAGAGCCACTCGGTTTCACTTAAATCGAGTGGCTCCCCGCAATTGGGTAGCGTCCATAAGCTGACCAAAATGCAACAATCTGCATTTTAACAACATAGATGCATTGAGTTATGTATCAACTTTCAGTGTTTCGATTCCTTGTGAGTTAAACTTGTCTAGGTGTCTATAAGCCTTTAAAATTCCTTTGTGAGTCACATGCCATCATACCGACACTGTGCACCCACTTCTGTCTAGGAAAGAGCTCTTTTACAAAAAGCCCGCACTTTCTATCGATCGTGCACTCACCTGGCGCCTTTAGAGCTTTGAGCTCAAACTTCCCGACAAAAAATATTGTGCAAATTGAGTTAGAGTGAATAAATATCTTAACATAACACAGATGTGTATCCAGGATTTTTCAAAGGGGGTCACACTGTGTCAACAGAGGGTACTCACTATTTTTCGCCGCCTGAATATCATAGGTTGTTTGCTCAAAAAAGAGGCTTGAAAAGGGGTAGAGGGAGCCACGGGCATCTCAGGACCCACCCTCCTAGTTGTGCCTTGAACGGACCGTCGCTCAGTATGTAGCTATAAGCACTTCTAGTATAGTACTTGGATATCCACTTCGTGTTGCAATGGCGTTTTATTTGACAACGCCACTCGTTATCTAACCCGTGTTAGAGAGCAAGTAGAATGAGTAGCCTAAAAGTGCGCAATTGTAAACAAAACAAAGAAAGAGCATGAGTATGTCTTATCGAAAAGTTTCAAACGACTCGTTTATTTGTATTGAAACAATAAGATTATTTGCTATTGATTGATCGCGTGATAATATTGATTTGGGGATACACTTCTTGATTTCGTTTCGCTGGCTCCGTTCAATTGGGGCTTCATCTGTGAATCCGTCTCACGGTTCATTTTCGATTTTAGACTCAGTAAAGAAGGTCCGAGGAGATAACAACAGTTTCCTTTTTGCTCATCTTGCAGCGTGACGATCAATGATTCTTGATAAATGCAAAGTGCATTCGATGGGTTTGTTTGTTAACAAACAGGTTCCACTTTACCATTTTTCAGCTTAAGGTCACAGATGACGTCAAAATGTGGCAGGACAAAAAGAATCAAACCGGACCCGCAGGCGAGTTTTTCAGGGTCACTTATGTTCCTACCGCATTTTGGCTTCTGGCATGATCTACAATTGAACAGAGACGCGAAAAAATTAGGTATACATCTGAATTATATAATATAATGAACAGGAAGGTGACATGGAAAAAATTACAAATTGCCTCTTAACGCTTGACCGGTCGCGTTAAATGTTCCTGTTTAGGTATTGCAAGGAACTTGGCGTCCGTCTAATGCTTGTGAACAGAATCTACAATACTTATTCATAGTTTTTGTAGCCTTCGCTTACCGAGTTTATCCAAAAATATCTCGCAAATATTTTAAAACCGTTTGCCATTTTCGAAAGGCAAAGTAAACAAATTTCATTGACGTCATTTAGGCGTCTGACCTCTGTTAGATTATGGGTAACGACCAATCGGAGCGCGACAGATACATATGGATATATGGGACTATGAGATGTTCGATCTGGTGCTTAAATGCGTCTGACAAAGACCATGGATGTGATATGTGAATTAACTTGGTCTTTCTTTTAGTCCGTTAATACCGGCTTTAATCTGCGGGCACACCGAGATTGTATTTTTGCCGTTTACCACTGTCAAAATGATGCGTTCTGCTGTTAACTTAGGTGATCCCTTTTTCTATTCACAAACAAACTCTCGCAGTTTACACTACGCGCAGCAAGGTTCCCCAGATTGAAAGCTTGGGATAGCAGTATGTTAAGACTCATCATTTTATCGGCTTTGCAAAGAAAAGAAACTCTAACTTAGTACTCCCATGCTGTCGCAAACTGTAACACACTTAACAAAACAGGAATACTAATTTTATTCTTTTGTTAGCAATAAGGAATAAAAATGTGTCTAACAAGCCTAGGAAAAAATCTAAACGGAAAAAAGATCCTCCGCTCGAAAAATGCAATTGAAAACGCCGCAGATTTTTATCATTTCATCATATCTTTTGCTTTATCAAAATAAGTTTTTCATGATTGATTTTAAGTCGATTGTGCTAGGCAAAAATATTTTGTAATGGAAAACCCAAGAATATTCCCATCTGGATGGGTGACAAAAGATCATTTACTTTTGCAATTTTTTTTTCCAAAAAATTTCCCCTCGCGACCATAAAAGTAATAACACGTTTTGAGTGGGTCTCCTCCTGAGGCCTCCTATGTTGTTACGATCTTTATGGCTTTGGGAAATTAATCAACCTTGTTTACCAAAGTCGGGGTCTTCAAATGTTTACTTGTCATAAACACTAACTGGTGAAGAAATCAAAAGTTTTGTCTGACAACGGCTCCAGTTGGGACATTTTTATCTCCAGTGTTTAATTGAATGTATAAATATATAGATCATATTAAGGCAAATCCACATTTTTCTTTAAACGGCGAATTATTTCTTTTGTTTCTGTAGACAAAAGAGGGCGAATTTTAATGGATTTAAAAAGGCCGACAATAAAATTAAATATTTTAGTCTTACGTCGAACAAATGAAAACATTGTAGTTTTCAGTGTTTTGAAATCTTGAGTTGTTTTGTCGGAAACCTTACTAAATTGTCCGATTGTTTCCGCGAATTTGAAAATTACTTTGGTACATGGTGCATTGATGCATCAATGAAGAAACTTTAAATTACGCCGCGTCTTTCTATTTTGTTTTGCCGGATCGCGCGCGGATAAAGGGAACTTTTGTGACGACCCAAAATGGATTTCGTTATGCGATTGTCATCGTTCTGTTTATCTCTTTTTCAGATTTTTTACAAACATAATCCATATGTTTTAGATTTGAATGGCCTGTTCGCTACATTTCCATTGATTGGCGAATTGAAATCTATAATTGCACGTCGACGAAGCCAATGATTTTCCTTTTTTGTCAAAATTATGTCGCAGTGGACGCACAAATTAACATTCACCACTGCCCTGTTTTGCATTTTAGGGAACAAAATTATCATAGTAATTTCGGGCCATTTTCGCCCCCTTGAGTTATTAGGCGCTATTTTGTTGAGTTATTTGCGTAACACAGTGCTTAATTTAGGCAAAAGGAAAGATCAATTGCGTACGAATCAACCTTTTTACTTTAACTTCATTGCTGAAAAAAATTGTCAAAGGGATTTCGCGTGACAGCAATGACGTCAACGACTCAAATGATCAACAATAATTGATAAAATTCTGTTACCTGATTGGTCCAGTTCCTTTCCCAGGATACCTGGCGCTGCTACACGAACCGAAAGAGACGTTTCGCTGGCGAAACAAAAGTAAGCAAGGGAGCGAGCATGGAATAGACGAGCGGATTTCTAGGCTATGAATTTGTCCTCTTTTATTCTTGCAATTTTCCGAATGGGATAAATAAAAATGGCTCCTCCAGGCGAGCTTAATCTTCTAAAAGAACCCCAGCTTAAGGACAAAGAAAAAGAATCCTACAATGGATATATTACGACTACGGTCGCTTCGCTTGACAGACCGCACTTCACATCTTGGACGTTGTTGAATGGTAAGGTGCGAATTGGGCCTGTAGAATCGGGTAGTGGATTTATTTTGCTCTGCCTACTATGGCTTGTCTTCGCCTCAGTGCCAGAAGGAGTTCTTCATGGATTTTGCTCGGTGGTTCAGCGTATCTTTACAATATTTTTACCGCTTGTTTGCTTGATTTGTGTGTTTTATTGGGCCGAACTTCTCATTCATAAATACTGCAAGAGCCAGATCTCGTACGCTGTGTTCCCCGTTTGTCTGTTAGGAGAGCTTTGTACACAAGTTATCCTTGGTGGATCGGATTTCCTGCGAACTACTTTTCTCTTTACTCTCGTGATGGCTGGACTCGTAACACTTGTATTTTCTAAACTTAAAATTCTACCCACAAGTATAGCGCTGTTGTTACTTACAACCGCTCGATTGTCATGTTGGATTACACTTCGTGATATTCCGTCTTTTTTGCGGCCATTTCTAGCCTATTTTTCAGCGTTTAGTGGGCTGATATTATCAAGAAACATTCAAGCATGGTTTTCTCCATCCCCGGGCGAGACCATTCAAAGCAAAGCGCCTCTAATACGGAGACGAACTTCAAGCGTTTCTTCGACTAGCAGTTTGAACAGTAGAAGAAGAACTTCTCTTCCAGCGCTTGGAATCCAAACCAAGGTAGGTAAATCTATGTGAAAGCCTCATTCATTTCCTTAGCTATAGATTACGATCTTTATATTAATGGGTTGGAAGAGCAGTTTATAACTGCCCAAGATCTTTGACCTGTCAAGCCACGGTTTTTCAGACAGAGATGCATTTTGCATCAAGATTCGTCTAATATTTAACAGTACATGATCGAGTAGCAAGGCGTTCGTTTTACATTTCCCTTCATTTATTGTAATGCTGTTTACCATTTGCCTTCTGTTTATATTTTGATTGTCGCGTTGGTGTTGCTCTATTCGAGAAAGCCAGTTCGAGTGCAAGCGGCCTCTTTGATTTATTTCAATGTTGTTCTTTTCCATGCGATGGAGTGTTCGACAAGCGGCAGGGAGAAAACCCAATGTACGCGGTGTACACACGAACATGCATTAAACTTTCATGAGTGCGATTATAGAAAAAATCTTGCGAAATATCATGTCGCAATTTCTGCGTGTAGCACATGTTTACGTTTTATTACTTGACTTTGGATGGATGATGTTCGAAGTCGAGGCTTAGAAGGTTTAAAATACTCGCAAGTGGTGCGGCAAGATTTATGGAGCTCAAAGGATCTCTAATCTTAGCAACGCCAGTTATCTGGAATCACCTGCAATCCTCGCCAATTTCTCGGTGTGCAATATATTATCATTTCTTTGTTAGTTCTTCAACATTTGTTATGGAAATTATTCCTAATCTGGCAAGGCTCGGCAAAATGCAAAATGGTAAGGATTTGTTCTATAAGTGATATTTCTTTGAGGCGAAGCCATATGGACAAATCCACACTATTATTTTCGTTATTGATTTTTAGACGACCTTCATCGGGGTTTCGGTGATTGCTTCATGGCCTGACTCAATGAAACACGGTACACTTGGGCCAAATCTCATTGTGCGACTCGAGATGTAATTGTAGATCTTGCAAATGAGATAAACAACAACTGCTCGCTTCCCACAAGTCAAAATCGCCCTTCGGTTTGGCAAATTAAGGCTAATAACTTTGTGCTCGAAATTGTAGTACCGAGCTAATTTTGATAAAAAAAAATCAATATGCTCGGGAGTCGAGAACACGGCTTAGTGTTTTGCGGTGATGATAACAATTCCAATTTCCCTCTTCTTGTTTGCAGATGGTGCGACAATAGGGAGAAGGTTTCTGTCTGTTTTGCTAGCGCGGGAACTGCTAATCGAATTCATTGTCGAAGTAATTTTTGCTGTTTTGCTTTCGAGATCGTCTCTTCTTACGCGTGTTCAGTATGGAATATTGTTTTCGCCCACATTGTTTATTAAGGGATAAACATCCGAGACTGTTCGGTATTTGGTGGTCAAGGATAGCGGTTAATTTATGAATTCGCCCCGAAACCAAATAACAATTTTCTTCAAGAGTATGCTTACTAACTGAGCAAATAAATAAATACCGAAAAGAGATCAGATCAGATTTGATTTTTCAATCACATTTACGCATCCAAAGATGAGGAAAGGCATTTTACAAGGACGATTAAATTAGTTCAAAGCCGTGTGATTTTAGCTGGTGTTGTCATCTTAAGTGGCTACAGGCTGAGTGTTGTTGAAAAAGATATATAGAAATTCTTTCCACTATCAAGTTACTTAAAGCTCAGGAAGAGCTTTGATTGTTTTCTTTGAAACCCAGGTAGTGTAAAAATTCCATATATCTGTTGGCGCACCAAGACTCGTGAATGTCATGGGGAATTTTTATATATGTGATCTTTGTTTTCTTCCTGCTAAAGAACATACGTTTTGACTTTATTGATACCTTGTGAGTGTCATCAGGTCAGGAAGACAAGCACATGCCAAACAAATTATCAAAGATTGTTTACATGCATAACATTTTCCACTCTACTTACTATAAGGGAATGCACATTTAAATGGAAAACAGCTTGCGAATGTTGTGATTTTTCGAACGAATTCATCTCCATGGATGCTATCAAAGAAGAAAAAGCTGCTTTTATGATTATATTTTTTTGATGTTCTCTTGTGATTTGAAACGAATCTAGGGATATTTTTTCCCATTTTTTGCTGAAGTGATTGGTTAACAAACTTAACTATCTTAGAAATTGTGGGTAATTTTTACGGAGAGAATATTTTACCTTCTGTTATAAGATATAAATGCATTTGGGTACATAAACATATTTGTCAAAATGGTTGTTGACAAAAAAATTGGAATCATGCACTCAGCCCTTTGTAGTATCTGAAAATCTAACAAATTTTTGTTTAAGTGTAGCTTTCACTTTTTAAGTTTGATTGTTTTTCATTCAAGTGTTCTCGGTAGTCCAGTGCTCTGAATCATTGTTTTACATACTTTATAAAAAGAATTAACTTCTAAGCTGTATTGTCTGCCAAGGTTGAAACTGTAACTGTGACATTTTTCTGAAAGGTTTTAAGAACTCAATCAGCTATAGCAAGGTGTAAAATATGATCCACATGTTATGAAATATGCATAAGTTAACCATTAAATAAAATCTACATTTTTATTTATTCAGTTTTATATGATAGCAGCGTGTTAAAATTTACCTAAGGTAATCATGGTTTGTGAAAATGTCTTGCTGTGTATTTTACACAGCAGTTCAATGTCGTTTGTTCCGTTGAATCATTTCTGTAGTGTGAGCTATTCCTTATTTTTAATGATCACAGCTTCTTATTTTAACCAAGAGTCACCTGTATTTGAAAAAGATTTGACAAGAAAGTCTAGCAACAATTTATTTTTCTATGACAGCATCACTAAGCAAAGCAGTAGAAAAACTCTGATGGACATTGAATTTGTTTCAGTAAAACTTATAATTGATAAAGTGATAAAATGCAATAACATCATGGAGGGGAAAACCTCTTTGCCAATTGCTTTAATTGAGAATTTGGCAAAAATTTTGAGCAGATTGTGTGTATTTCCTGGGTTTGGAGGCTTTTCATGCCCATGAATTGAGTTGTCATTTGCTATTTAGCTGTAAGTTGATCAGAGCCGGAAAAATTATTAATTTGTTTTTACTGCTGAAAGCTGACCTTTGTTATTTAAACACTTAAACTTGAAAAGAATTCCTTGTCTAAGTACACATGTATATGTTATTGTGATTCTGTGACCTGCACAATGCATAGTCAAAGCAAACAGATTTATTTGTCCTAAATGTTATTTTTTTGGACTTAAGGTCAGAGCAGTTGCATTTTATTTTTTTGTCTTCATTACAAATGGCCTTTTATGAACATTTAATGGACACAGGGGGTCTTTTAATCTCCAGGCCATTCCTTTCATTTCATTGGTAATTATTGCAAATTTTGGATTCTTTAGGTATCTAATGAGATATATTTATAGAATGAAAGTAAAAGATGTTTATGGCATCTGAATGGGGAAGATAGCATGGAGACATTGTTGTTTTTTTCTTGGTAGGAATGAAATACTACGAACATTTTCACCTTGGAGCAAATAAATTTGAAAGTCACCTCAGACAAATCTTTTGACAGTGAAAGTGTTGCCCCATTCTATTTATTTTTATGAAGTAGGGGACATCTGCTTATACTTTTGATAAGAGAAAGCAAAAGATGTGTTTGATAAGCAGGGTTGTCGTTTAGGGCTGGCTGTGGGCAAAATGCATTGGATGAAGAAGTGCCAATGGCTGAATGTTTCCACTGAACGTTCCATATGGCATAACAGGCACTTCTTAGGTTTTGCAGTTGTAATCATGGGCACAAGATACATTAGACCAGTTTCATGCCTAGAGAGTGAGAGCTTGTTCAGGAGAATTCTTAACTTTCTTTTGGTTTTTGTTGTTTGTTTGTTTGTTTGTTTTTTTGGAGGACTTGAATTTATTCAGTACAATAATACACAGTATGCACTTAATAACTGATGGTGGCTGTTGTAACTTTTTGCCATTTTTGGTTGCAGGGTTCTATAGACTGCACAACACTGGGAGAAGCTCATGGCATGATCTCTGACCTACTAGCAGATTCTAATGTGCCTCCTAATGTGGCAAGCACCCTTAAAATAATCAGCACAATGATCGCACCACCCACTGCTTTCCATGCAGTACAGCGGCCATTTGTTTCCGCCATGTCACCCCTTATAGAAAAATTCCGCGATGAGAGTCAGGAGGACAAAGTGAGAGATCAACCAGATCTTAAGGATGACATGCCTTTGCCAATGGTTGGGGTGAGTGCATTGTCAGTTGATCTAGGTGCAGTGTAATCCATTTGCTCCTAATATATAAATTTCAGTTCTCCACACACTGTCTGCCATACATTTCTTATAACTTAGGCTGTGAGAATTTGGTGGTAAATCAGACAGTATTCCCCAGTTAATACGTTCACATTTTAGTCTTTTATGGGTGTGAAAGAGATAAGAAAGGGTGTTTTGAGGTTCAAGGGACCTTCTGCAGTTGGGTTGTTAAACCCTGCCTGGAATCAATCACGTTTTGTTTTGTGTTCATGAGAAAGACACTTCACTCTTTCAGTGCCCCATTCCACCTACAAGGGTAGGAGTAGGCTCTAGCAAACTGTCAGAGAAACTTGTCGAAATGTTGAAGGGTTAGTTTCAATAAGCTACAGCTTCCCACCCAGGAAAAAAGATGGCAGGATGGCTCCTGTGATTTGTATTACAAATTCAAAATTACACATGATTTCTGCCAATAGTTTTGAAGGCCTGTGACCACATAAGTAGCACTGATCGGATTGTTATGTTAATTTCTCTAACTAGTAAAACCACAAAACTCTTCTCTCCCATTTTCTGTTGCTTTAAGTTATGTTCATTTGCGAAAGTGATTCTGATAGCCAGTGCGCAATCGCAGACTACACGTTTTAAATTGTTTACATAGAAAACAAGGAAACCATTTACATCGAAACTGACGATCTTTTTTTCAGCAACTCCAGCGAATAAGGCGCACGTTAAATTCCCAAGGGAGGCGCATGTCAAGCACGTGGACGACCACGACCTCCGCCACTGGCATGCCTACTCTAGATCCTGACGTCACAGTGGGTCGCACAACACCTGTTGTGACATTCACTGAGCACAATGCTGTTAGTCACGCAAATAAGAGCCCTCAAAAGTCTTCACTAGCAGAAGGCGCTAATATTACCAGCACGAAAAACGGTCCTCAAGAGACTTACACCAAGCATAGACCCGCTTGCTTCAGCCACAGCTTTCCCACTCAGGCTTCACCGGGTCTGTCGCGAAAGCTTTCCCCGGACATGGCCCCATCTGGCTCTCCTCTTCTCCAAAGACGTTCGCCTGATCGGGTTGCGGCAACGCCGACTTCTTCGTCTCCGAGTCTTCTACGGAAGTCGCCCGATAGGATGTTTACTTCTTCGAATGTGTTCAGAAGACTTAGTAAAGAAGAAACGCAACTTGTCAAAGATGCTCTCGATCAGGCAGAGCAGGAGAAAGAGACGGAAGACGTTGTTGATACTGTGGGGAAATCTAAACCATGTGACTGTGACTGTCACGCAAATCCCTCGTCAACAAAACAAGAAAAAGACAATAATCAAACAAGTAATGAGTCTGTCAAGAAAGCGGACAGTGTTGAGGAGAATCCGGTTTTACCCAAATCAAAAGAACTTGATAAACTACTAGATCAAATCTCGGACTGGAATTTTCCGATATTTGATGCTTGCGAACATGGAAATATATTGACTCAGGTAAGGGTGAAACTTGTTGGAAATGTACAATTTATGATATTTACCGACTTGTTCACTTTTCGGTCGCAAGGGAATGTGATGGGTTGGGGGGGGGGGGATTGCGTGGTTGAAAGAATTATTAACCCGCAGAAGAATTATTAACCCGCATAAATTGTGTTAAAGGCCATCAAGGGTAAGTTTCCTACACAGGAAATAGCCACCTTAAAGGAAACAAACCGTAAAGCTGCTTCTTTTTTCCACACAATAATACGCTTTTTTTCAGTTAAGAAATTTCAGTTTATATATGTCTTTTTGCTGCAGGTTACATACAAAGTGTTTCAGAAAGTTGGACTTTTTGAGGCATTTAAAATTCCAGAGGACAAATTCCTCAGTTTTTTCTTTGCATTGGAAAGTGGGTACCACGACATTCCTTGTAAGTAAGATTTGTTCTGTGTGACTGGGTTGATTTTTTGTGCAGTCTACTTTGCCATGAGGAAGTTTTGTGATCTAGATCGGTTAGAAGGCGTAAAATATCGCGCAGAGTTTTTTATAAAAATAATTCCTCTTCCACTTTTACTCATGTTCAGACCTGATTATTTGGTGATACACTTGAGTCGAGATATTGGTAAACGCAGAGTCTTAAGGGGGCGACGAATCAGCTCTTTAGTCGTTGATGCTTTCAATGTGCTCAGTTCTGACATGAGAAAAGGTTCGACAATGTTGTAATAATTGTACATGTTAAAAAGTACTGGTTATGCCACATACGCGTCTTTTTCCCTTGAAAATTTTCCTTTTTAAACAGTTTTCCATGTGGGTGAAAATAGAAAATAGTCATAGGATTTCAACTGAGATCGATCATTGACATGTTTTCGTGATCAGAAACTGACGTTCTAGTTTTGGTGAAAAATTTCGCAAGGAAAAAAACTTGTTAAGGTCCAGATTTGTTTGTGTCGATTACTTGACATCTACGATTGTCGAAGGAAATTTCAGAAAAGTTAAGGGAAATGAGAGTTCAACCAAGTGTCTCTTACAAGGATTCCGGGCTAGAATCTAGATACAACAAAACATTATTGTCTGACAATTACACCCGCTAAGAACACTTTGCTGGTGTGAATGCGTTTTTCTCAGAAATTTGACTTTGACTGTCAAAACGCTTCCTCTCTATACTGTTCTCTAATCACAACCCATGGTACTGTCTTGGAGAATGTGGTGAACAATCAAGAGGCACTTTAGTTGTATTCTCATTACGTTAATGTATGAGGCAGCCGTGTTACTTTAAGGAGAAATTATATGCTTGTCACACATAGGATTACATTTTAATGGTTAATTTCCATGCTGTATTTAGACCACAACTGTATGCATGCTTCGGATGTTCTTCATGGCGTGTTCTTTATGACAACAAAGAAGATTCCTGGCTTTGGTCCATCAAGCTTAAAACTTGGCGATGATAGCGAGTCGGATTCGGACAGCGGACTAAACGGGGAAGGACGGCAGAAGAGTAATACTGGTGATTATGGAATCTTAATGGACTCTATTCCTCAACTGGAACTACTGGCATTGTACACTGCAGCCACCATGCACGATTATGATCACCCGGGAAGGACAAACGCTTTTCTTGTGTCAACTCTATCGCAGCAAGTAAGTTTATCCAGTTTTAAACGATCTCGCGTTACTTGATGGTTATGTACTGTGTTGTCCTGTGTAGCTGCTCTTTGAGATTAGCCCTGCGTGACATCCCTGAAGATCTGTTGCGAAAGAGGCCACACATTGTATTAGAGGAAGAGTATTTAATGTTGTCCTTTCCTCTCCTTAACAAATGTTTTCAAACGTGAGCGCTTTTTGATGTTGTGTCGCAAAAACCAAAACCAAAAGTAAAGTTATGACAAGGGCCAATCAGAACAAAGGTAAATATTGTAAGGAACCAATGAGAACTCAGAGTGAAATCATGTTCATTTAATGGCCATAAGCGCAGAAGAACGCAGCTACCAAGTCGTGATCGGTTGTAGTTTTGCATTTGATTGGCTGAAAGGGTAGCGCGAGTTTTGCAGACCAGTCTTAGTACGTAGTTAACCCTTTTACGCACTGACGTCAGTATGCATATTCTTTATACTTTGCGCCATAAATTTCGTAAAGTGCCGATAGAGATAATTTGTTTCACAATCAAGATCTCATTTATTCGGTGAAAGGAGAAATTATATTAGTCATTCTATGGGGTCAAAGGGTTTTATGAAATAACACCATACGACTTTCGGCGTTTAATTAATAACTGATCTTTTGCGTTCCTTCAGAGGTGTTTTATTTTTGTTTGTTTTACAGGTTACAGATTCTTGTGCCCTAAACACGTTTCCTATTTTTTTTCAGGCTTTATTGTATAACGACAGATCAGTGTTGGAGAATCATCACGCCGCTGCTGCATTCTCACTTCTTATGTCAGATCCAAAGTTTAACTTCTTGTGCGGGTTGGAACCTGTGGAATTCAAACGCTTCAGGTTTCTTGCGATTGAAGCTATTCTGGCCACAGATCTCAAGAGACACTTTGATTTGCTCTCCGAGTTTAATGCCAAGGTAAAGAAAAGTAGATTGTTGTTGCGAGTTATTTCCGTTACTTGCATCAAAGAATAGTAAAAGAAATTATATTCATAACATAAAGGGGCAATTTTTATTTCATAAAACTGATCCACTGAGAAGACTTTGCTTTAGATATCCTTTGATAAGTCGGCCAGTTGACGCTCAAGAGTTAAAGCAATCTTAACTTGGTATTAAATGCAAGCAAGTCCAGGTGTGGACAATCTTTACTTGTTTAGAATGCAAGCAAGTCAAGTTTTAGGCAATCTTAAATTGGTTTTAAATTCAAGCAATTCGAGGTTTAGTCAAACATAACTTGGTTTAGAATGAAAGCAAGTCGATTTTAAGTAATTTTCGTTCTTTTTTTTTTTTTTTTTTTTTTTTGACAGATTTCTGAAGAGGGTGGTGGAATAGATTGGTCGCAAGAAGCTGATCGACTTCTGACCCTCCAGATATGCATCAAAATGGCGGACATTTCAGGACCGAGTAAGCGTAGGGACTTACACACTCGCTGGACCGAGAGGATTGTTGAAGAGTTCTACGAGCAGGTAATGGGAAAAGAAAGAGGGAGAAAGAAAATTTATGCCTAGATTACATAGTCTAATATTAAATGATATGTTTTTGTTATGTTACGTGGCCTTACGGTAAGTGCGCTGGGGCCCGTCTCTCAAAAGTCCTGGTAACTTAACGGCCCGAAGCCGTATTGTAAAATTTAAATTTAAAGATTAGAGAACTAGATTCTGGCACCCTAGCCAGTCCATTTTGTTTCTTCCGCTGATACTTTCATTGTAGAATTTTTTGTCATTTCCGACGCACGATGGTTTCAACAGTAGGACAGTGGTATGCATTCCTGTGTTTCAAGGTTGTGATACGTCTTGCTCTTAATTTCAATTCACTTCTCTCGTTTATTTCAGGGAGATGACGAGCTGGGGCGAGGCATGCCTATATCTCCTTATATGGACCGTGATCATCCTCACGTGGCGCAGCTTCAAGAATCATTCATCAATCATCTGGTTGCTCCTTTATACAATGCGTACGCAAACGCCGGACTTCTACCGGGGGAGTGGGTCGATGTCGAAGCCAGTAGTTCGGACTTGGAGAGCGACGATGAAGACTCCAGCGAAGAATCACCGAGGAGTACCGAAGAAGAACAACAGCGAAGGAAGTCAAAGAAGTCCCGACGTCGAAAGCGACGGAAGATAACAAGCGATCTCACGAAGAACATTGAAAATAATTACAAAATGTGGTTAGAGGTTATTAAGCAAGAAGAAAGAGAAAAACGAAAATTGAATAAGATCGAAACAGATGAAAGCGAACGACAAGAAGTAGAAGGATCTGACGAGGAGTTGATGATGATAGAGACATCCTTGAAAGATGAAATAATTGAGGAAGAGGAGAATGGTTCTGAGTCTGGAAGCGCTGCTGATTCACGCAAGGAAAGTAACTCTTAAGTGAGCTGACTTTGTACTTAACCCTGTAAATTATAAGCTGCGACCATACTGTGAACTTAGGAAAAAATTAGCATTGTCTTTTAAAATGTACTGGCAGGCGCAAACAAACCTGAAGGTTTTCTGTCTTTTCGGTTAACCGTGATGTTAATGTGGTAGAAGTTGTGGCCTTTTGTTGAGTGGTTGTCGTGTTTGTGATTGGTGACTTGTAACTAAAGATTGTTATGTGAATTAGATCATCGCTCGACTCTGGTCACTTTTGTCGTTTCTCAAGGGTAGGGATGGGTGCACGTTCGTACTATCGATGATGGCCTGCGGTAGTCTTTCTAAAGTAACCCAGTCGTTCAAGATTCTGTTCAAGTACGTTTTAGAAAACGTAAAATCAGCAGAGCTATATGAGAGCGAGTTATAGCGTCAATTTTTTACAAGTGAGCTTGATAAAGCAAGTTTAACTTTAAAAAATATATATATGATAAAATAATTTTATTGTTTTAATTCACTCATGAAAGTGTTACGGAATCCTGGTTTTAACGAAGGCTTTGAATGAGTTATTTTAGAAAGTTTATTACCCACATTGGAATCAAACTTTTAGCGGAGAGAATTTGCAATGATTAGATGAAAAACCGGAACGTAGAAGTGGACGAAAAGACGTCATCTGAAAATTTCATTTACAGCTGAGATAACATTACACAGACCTGGCGTGACTAGCACGATAATTGGTCACGCTATCGTCTGCCTGTGTATTATATGTACAGGGAATACACTTGTATGTACAAAACGAGAATCAAATTATGCAATTATAATGTGTAAATAACGTGGATTGCCACCGAGCCTTTCAAGGCCAAAATATTAAAGTATCAGAGTTGAGAATAGATCGACTTACTAATGAGAGAACAACAGCTGTAGTATTTAAGGACTCAATATTAAATATAGTTGGAAGAAATCTGTCACGCAGTAAGTGTGATTTTATAATGACTCTCCTAATATAAATTTCTACCAAAGACATTTCGAGGCTGGAAACTTTCTCAGATGATTCTGGTATCAAGGAACTCACATTAAGCTGCTACTGACTAATTAAACTAATCAAGCTGATTAGTTAGTTGAATGCTATTGACTGTAAAGCGGGACTGTGTCACCCTGAACTAAGCGGTCGTTTATCACAGGGATTGTTAATGAGCGTGAAAGGAACAAATCGAGAAGAAAAGAAATTGCATTTGCGAATTGGTTGCTGTTATAAACTCTTTTCTTTTCTCTTTCGGAACTGGACAATTTATTGATACTGAAAGAGAACTCCTGAGGAATTTTCAGCGTCCTCTAACCCTTTGAGCTCATTCTCGTAAAAAAACTGCTCTTCTCCAAACGCCGGTTTTAACTGGTCCAACCATGCTGCTCTCTTGTCGTATTTTGCAAAAAACGGTCGTCCAGTCCATTGAGGATTTCGTGCCTGAAGGAATTGCAAGACGAATACCTTTTCATTGGCAACTTCTGCAGTTCCTAACAAATGTACTTTTCCTGGAGCAGCGGACATGGACGGACCGCGCACCGTTCTCGCAACTCCGGAAACTCGCCGAATAGCTTCGTGATAGATTCGTGAGGCCTCGACCAGTGGAACTTCAAAATAATGTTTAGCGCCAGTGTCCCGCTCCACGAACATGTAATAAGGAATCATGCCGAGAGAGAGCTGGGTCTGCCACATTTCAACCCAGACCCACGGGTCTGCATTGACATGATGGATCAATGGAGCCTGAGAGCGAATGACTGCTCCGGTCATGCGTATCCGTCGGATGGCTTCCCTGACGACAGGTGATTGGAGTTCACGGGGGTGGGACACATGAGCCATGATGGCAAGATGTCGACCGGACATAGTGACTGTTTCAAACAGCCTGAAAAGTGAAGAGAGTTATTAAAAATAAGTCATGAGAGAAAGGCGATTGATGTGCGAGATAGGGAAGAGGAGCAAATGCCTTTACCGCTGGTACTCAGTGCTAGCCACAGTTACTTAATTGAAAGATATGGTAAATAAACTCAGATTTCCCTAGTATATATATATCTTCTCAGTTTTGATTGCCTGTTTTGGACATGACCGGACACAATAGCATTCCAAGAAAATCGCACTGAACTAGCTTAGAAAAAGAGGCATCCCATTAATTTACTCAGTCACAGAGTGTGAGCTTAAGAACTAAAGATTGTGCACGGTCTGGGAGCTACCGACATTAATTTCAGAACCGTTGTTTTGATTCTTTTATTTTTGCAAGCTCTCATAACCAGTCATTAATCCTACTGACTTTAGGGCCTGCGAGAAGCTCTAAGAACCAAACGCCGCCATGTAAGTGATCATCATCAAAACCCAAACTGAAAAGCATTTAATTTACCGTAGTAAATCGTCAGCGTCATCATTTGTGACATAACGGTAAGGCCAATAAGCAAGAGACTTGGTACCAATCCTGATAGTCCTTAAGTGGTCGAGTGTTGGATCCTGGAGGAGTGGGTGGATGTATCTTTCAAGCTGTTTTGTTGTCATCACCATAGGGTCACCACCGGTAAATAAAACATCTCTTATTCCTACATGAGAAATTGAAGGAAAACTGATATTTAACGCCATCTCACTAGCTGGAAAAGGAGGATTCAAGTGACTAGTAACGGTTTACATTACTTTGCGATCATCTATCTAAATATTCAATCTGCTGTTGAGAATAACCCGAAATTACTTTGGTATCACCTTGCTACAATCGCTGAGATCTCATACCACGCCCTCAACCAATCCGATTTTGAACCAAAATATATCATGTCTCGGTCACTCGCGTTTTTCCCGCGCTTGGAACTTTTACATGTTCTCATTGGTTTCCCACGATATTAACGTGAACAAAGATTGGCTTTTATGACTTACCAGTCAATCGAAAAACAACCGATCCGTTGCTTGTAATACAGTGATATCAAAAAGAAATTCCCGATCCCAGCTGGTCATCGCTCACGGTCGTGTCATAATTTTTATCTTTATTTAAAACATGTACGATGGTAACTGAAATATTTCCAAAATTCTCTCAATCTTGCTTTAAAAAGGACCAAATCACAATTTATGCAAAGTCGTTACGAGCCAATTTGGCCATACGTCTGCGTACATTCATTAGAATGATGCGTAAAGATTTCTCAAGGCACCACTAAGCCTGCAACTCTACAATCTCGGCCATATTGTTGAGAAAAACTAAGCTAAATGTTCTTTTCTTTCAGTCCTGGCAATATGTCACACCCTTCTGACACCTTGCAAAAATTGGAAACGTAAAGCACTCTTACGCAACTAAATTTAGTAGCTTTGTTACCTAAATATCATATGACCCGTCAGGCCCTACGCGTGTGCTTTTATTGAAAAACATGCAAGTATTCCCGAATGTCACATACTACATATGATCACTATCATTATTGTACCCGGATATCCCCGCCGTGGAGGCTCGATCAGCCAACTGTAAGTGGATAACACACGATTGGATGATTGATTGCATAACTACAATGCCAGTGTTCAGATATTGAAGCGATTTTTCAAAAGTGTACCTTTGTGTTTTCGAATATAACTTGCCAGTTTCTCAGAATCATATGACTGGAAGGCTTGCGGAGATCCAACCGCGGTAAACTGGGCCCAACGGAAACAATACGTACAGAACGTGTGGCACCACTGACCTATCAAAAGCATTGACCTGTGAGTTACCATGGTCACTGCACAAGGGATTTCTTAATAAAAGCTACCTTGAGACGATTACGAACTAACTGAAAGTAGTTTCAATGATGGCACAATGTTTTCTGGCGACACGAATATAATCAGTTTGTCTGTAATTTTAAAGTGCAAGAGTCAGTCGAGCTAACAGAACAGAGAGCGGAATGGAAGTGAGTGGAGTTCCCTTACAACAAAAAAATTGGTTTTAACTCTCACAGTTTTTTGTTTTGTTTTTTTTTTCTCACAGTTTTTTTTTAATGAAATAAATTTATTTCATAAAAAGATTCCTTAACGGGAAGGATAAACCGTCTAAGATTTGCCTGGCTCCCTACGTGTGGCTTTGAAGCTCAGTTGGTAGAAGCGGGAAGGCACGGGTGTAAATCCCGTCGAAACCTGAATCTTTTACCGTCTTCTTCTAGGCAATTGCTTAAAGTGCAGTCCACCTGTGAGCATCATTTCTTTTCTTGAGGTTTAACTCTGTTGAGCACTTCTCAGCGATGTTAGCTGGAAAGTGTGAACGCATGTTAACAACCAAGTTAATATTAAAAAGTTAGTGATATACCTTCGGCAGGAAAGAAGAGAACCGTTTCTCGATATTTGTGCTGCATCCCAGGCAGCTCTTCGCCATTCTCACGTGGCACATTCATAGTTTTCTGGTTGGCTGGATGCGGATTCATGGATGTTCGAATTTTTTCCACTTTTTTTCGAAGAGAAACCCGACTTTTATTATCACGCATGGCATTCAGGATGTTGTGTAGGTCGTCAGGTGACACCATTCCTGATAAAGAAAAAACACGAAAGGATAAGAAATGAAAAGTGCTATCAACTGTCAAATGTCAAAGGAAGAGTTCAAACCCTTTACGTAGTTTGTTTAGAAAGTTAGTGCCCCTTAAATTTGCCGGAACACACCTGAGGTGCCCTGAGTAACACAATTTTCTCATCGCTAAGGATGGCCAGGAAAGGCAATTATAATAATCATCACTCGAGACTATGATGGAGCTGGATGAACGTAGTTTAATGAGCGAAATCACAAAGGTTATTAAAACATGGCCGACTCTACACACCACCAGTCCTCTAGACGCATGTCTACTACATTGTAGAAAATACCGCTGATCATTACAGCAATCAATCAGTTTGGCTGAATCTATCATTTGACTTTTATTTCATTAAGTGCCCTCAAGGGCGCCCAGGGACAAATATTAGTAGCCAAGCCTTCATAATGGGCACAAAATATCAGCGAGTGTCCATGTATCAATCTATGATGAAATAAAAGATAATTTCGTTTTATCAACCGAGTTAATAATGTGAATTAGGCATCGTATAGATTCTAAAGCTGACGTTTCGAGCGTTGGCCCCTCGTTATAGTGAATCCCGCCTTAAAATCGTATAACGGTGGCTAATTCACTATCAACGCTGTCAGTAAAACCAAATTATCTCGTAATATCCCTGCACCGATGCAAAACACCATAATCTCTAAAGAAACTTACCCTTTTTACGTTGAAATACACTTGCATGTCTTGCTCAAGGACAAGTTAAACTCGCCACGATTAACGTGGCTTGACACCTCTTGACGCGGCTATGGCTTAACTAAACCGTTTTATTGCTAACAAAATCCCTAATACTAGATTCTCGTAGCTTACCTGGTTGTGGAAAGGTGAGCTGAAACATAGGATCATCCGGTACAGCAGACCAGTCGATCAGCTGAGTAACCACGTAATTGTTTGTGCGCATCGGCAGAACGGATGCCGCTGCTAGGTATGGCAGAGGGTCCACTGACTGAGCCCCTCGAGGCCAGTATGTGTTCAATATGGCTGGAATGTGACTTTTAGTGTACATTTTCCATTGCAGCGGTTTGATATATTCACCTGTAAGGATGATATTGCTTAATTGTTTGTGAAGAGTTTTGAAATTAAACCAAGAATTGTTTGATCAAAGAAAATCGACCGTTCCTTTTCGCATGCCATTAGAGAAAAACTCCGCGAAGTCTATCTGTCAAGAAGTCGATCGATCATGCAGTCGGTTGGGGTCACAGTCAGTTGGTTTCAAAAAATCACATTTCTCGTGTAACGAAAAGTACAAAGACAGGTTGGTGTGCTACGGCGTATATTTTTAAGTACACTTAATTACTTGTGTATATAAATGTGAATTTAGTCACAGACCTGCAAAATTTGGAATATATGGGTTAGGAACATTGACGCTGCCAACATCGTTACATGTCGAATCGTACTTTCTCTCCTCCTGAGTGTTCAGTGTTGACATGAATCTGCGGGTGACCCATCTTCTTGCGCAACCCAGAGAACGTGGTAAGACCTTGTTAAACTGAAGCATCTTAAAAACCTGAAAACAACTACTAGCGTGTGAGTCTACAGAAAACTGATGTATTTAGCTTTTAACTGGTGTGATTAATATCGCACTGGAGCCCCCGATGTTAATGGTCCCTGTTATTTTGTTTTGGTCAGCGCTAAGTAATTTAAAGTCACAGCTTGACAATATTTTGAATTGCAGAAATTGTAACAAATGAAATTGGTCAGGAATGAAATCATCTCAGGCCTAACTTATATGAATGAGATAAAGAAAGGTTCTATTTTGTGAGAGATTTTTTTTTCAGAGATAGGTCTTTTGGACCGATAAATACCTCACCGGCAGTATCAAATGGTCTATGTGGGAGTTTGCGTGATCACGAGAAAGCGAAACTAGCCTTTTTCCTACGAGACTGAGTATCGAAAATCTTTAAAGAATAACGACGCCAAGACTTCAGGGATTTTCTTGCCTTGTTTCGTGATTCACAAATCGGACTCCTGCCTGGCATTCGTCCATTTTGTTAAGCACTCGTATGATTACAGACCGAATTGGACACCACATAGTCCTATTACCATTATCAATTAAAACTATAATAACATTTTCGAACGCGATTGGTTATCACCAGCCCGATTTGAACACCAATAGGACATTGTACACGCCGTGCTTGTAATTGGACAGTGTGATAGGGCAGTTTACTCGTCATGCCTGTGTTAAGCCCCGTTCAAAGGGTCATGATGGTTGATGATAGTCGACGATAGTTTCAACTTTCATTCACTGTCATTGACTATCATGTTTGCGTTCAAACGGTTCATGATAGTTGATAAAATAAGGCAATGAGATCGCGTTATTGTAAACAAATATGACAGGCGCTGAGGTCAGCAATTTTGGTGGCATTAGTACATGTAAATGTTGTTATTATCCAACTGCACAAAGAAGAGTACAAATGACGTGCGAATACTGTAAAAATATTCCGCGATATTGTACGGTTATTTGGACAGTTGGTTATTTTGTATTGTAAAAACCTGTTTAACCCTCCAAGCATGTCCAATACCACGGCTTGATACAAGTTGTCTAATGTATTCACGAGTCGTACGACTCCCACGAGTGTGTGATGTTTACACGAGTCGTACAACCCGTGCCCCTCACTAGGGAGACTACCATTTTTTTACCTCACACCACTGATGATCTAATGAAGTCGTTTACTTTTAAAGAGCTTTCTCCGATAAAATGTAACACATACAAGAACCTCGATAAAACAACATTGTTTGTGAAGACGCTCGCTATTACTAACGCATCGAACAAGTTTGAATGAATGATGATTTTAGATATATGAAATTCATAAATTTTCACTGTGGTGAAGAGATGAAATTAAGAGATCCTCGCAGCTAAGATCACTACTGAAACGAGTAGTTGAAAATAGGACCTGAAAAAAATTCAGGCCCGAACAGGATTTGAACCCATGACCTCTGCGAGTAATGAACTTTACTTGCCAACTGGGAGCTGGTAAATGTGTTGGGTCCAAATAAACCATCCAAGTAAAGTTCATTACTTGGATGGTTTATTTAGACCCAACACATTTACCAGCTCCCAGTTAGCTTGTTAGCTCAGCTGGTAGAGCGCTGCACCGGTATCGCAGAGGTCATGGGTTCAAATCCCGTACGGGCATGAATTTTTTTCAGGTCCTATTTTCAACTACTCGTTTCAGTAGTGTTCTTAGCTGAATGGTTGCCACAGAAACAAATGATACATGAATCGAAATGAATATTCATGAATCGACGACTTGTACGACTCGTACGAATCGACACACCATCATCTAGGCTCAGTTCTCCCAAAATGGTGAAAAAATATAAGTCTCTCTAATGACATTCATGGATAGACAACAAGAAGAGAGAGCATTTTGCCGCTTAAATCATCAAATTATACTGATCAGAAGATAGAATATTTTCAGATCTTGCCGTGATACTACTAAAGACGATTAACATCTCAAAATAAGTTCACAGTAACATCCACTGACGCATAATTTAAATAAAAACTCTTCTTCGCAGAAGTATCTCAATAGATGTGATCTACTCATCATCAAAGCCATTGAGGAAAATTTTTTTCTTTGAAAAGAGGGAATATCTCTTTTTGAGTTAGCGACTAACACCGAATAGGGCCGCCATAAATTTGCGAAGCGAGCAAGCAGAAAAATACGATTCCTTTGAGTTATGCAACAGAATGATGGAGTGGAGAAATGGTGGATTAGTGGAATGGCGGAATATCCAAAAAACGCGTAATGCCTTTTTCTATGAAACTTAAGTCTCAAAAAATGAAATTTCAATAAAATAAGAAAATTATTTATACCTAACAGACGAAATTGAAAGAAGTAAAGATACATTTAATCATTGCTAAGGCCCAGAGGCTAGAGGAACCATGAGGCGTTCGAGCCAGCCCCTTACATTGTTATTATATTACTATCGTTATCATAATTATTATTGAGGATATTATCATTTGCTACCATTTAATTATTGGCTGAGTGTCCATTAGATAATATATTCTTGGACAGGGTATTCATAAGTATGTGGGATGCGAACAGTTTTTTGTTTTGCATGTAAGACAAATATTCTGCTACACTACCTTGTAGCGTCATTAGACAACCTCTGATTTATTTTCAATGCTATAAAAATTGTGTTAAATCAGTAGCCACATGCAGTCTTTGACTGTCTATTCTTTATACGTGAAGTGCAAAAACTACTCGTCAAAAAGCCAGAGTTGATCTGAATGTGGATGCGCACAATTGACGTAAACAAATACATTTAATTGAAGAGCATTTGCGACCAGTCTTTTATATAATTATCTCTAGACTCTATAAAACAAGCCTGTTTTTCTTCCATACAAAATGATAAAGATGAAAGGGTGAAGCTCTTGAGCTGGCTTTTTTTTGTAGGCTTTGTTTCTTTTCGACTCAAATAATCGGAGGACAAATATTGGAGGTTACTGCGTGATAACCGTCCAGTGATTTTGCATTAAATGACGAAAATTAGCTTTGATGGGTGGGCTATGATGTTGAATAATCCCCGAGAAGAAGTCTTAATCAGACGCGATTTGCCACCTTTGTTAGTATCACTGCATTAACGTCGACGGCTGAGTCCGTTCCTCCCGGATACCGGTTCTCGGTAACAAAATAATTGATATAAGACCAACGGATGATATCAAATTTCGAAATACGAACCTCACTGTCTGTCAGCGATACGGAAACCTCTGACAACCAACTTGTATTGAGAATCGTGAAGACTTTGCCGTTCATTCATCAACCTGACCGAGTGGCGCTAGAGGCGAGTGACGTGTCAGCAGCTGATCGGCTATATCAACACACGTGAAAAAATACGATTTTTTTTCACGTGTCTTGTTACTACTTTTCTCAGGGCCGGAAATCTTTGTATGACACCGCAGTTTATGTGATAAATATGTCGTACGTGCGCTAGTTTCTCTAAAATCCAAGCGAAGTATACATCCAAAGAAAGCTTGATAAATGCAATTTATGATAAAAATATAATTTAAGCGAGTTTTCCTTTTGGGAAATGTCAGAAGTCGGTAAATACCCTGCTCGTTTAAAGTGGATGTATTTCTTCCAAAATCAAATGCGAAAGGGATTCGTCCGACGATCCGTGTCAAACTGATGGTTTATTTCAGAAGATTCCATCGATAAACGCTTTTACATAAAAATCAGGAACTTTCAATTGATTATTTGTTTACCTTCTACGGGTATTTCAATAAGAACTTACCTTCAAAGACTAAGAGAGCCGGCCTCAGTTTTATGTAATCTTTAGGTTCAGGTTGATACGTGACAATGCTTTAGCCTGTTGACGAAGTAGACGCCAGTTCTTCGGCTCACCGTATTTCATGAATAGAGATTAAGAAAACATACTTATTGACTAAGTGGCGAACTAAGTGGTACAAAGAAATGACGCACGCACGTACGGACCTTGCACGTAAACCTTGCACGAACGGATATTGCACCTACGAACCTTGCATGTATGGACCTTGCATTGTTCCCATTCCCGTTGAAATTTGTCGGATAGCAAAAAGGTTACTAAGAAAATGCCAGAGAAGCTTACCTGTTATCTCAGTTATAGCCTCAGTTGAAGGAGTGTGACAATAGTAGGAATGCAAATTCACGCAGGTTACCGCAAGAGTGGCCACTAAAATATTGCTGAAAATCGTTTTAATAAAGAGGAAAAAAAAGGTGTTGAAAAACGACAAGTTTTGACCCTCGACTAACATCTACAGGTACGGGCCTGAATTTTTTCCAGGTCTTATTTCAACTACTAGTTCAGTAGTGTTTATAGCTGCGAGGATCTCTTACATTCGTTTCTTCACCGCAGTGAGCACATATGATTTTCATATATTTACAGGTAAAATATTGTTTTTTTAAAAAAGATTAGATGAACTTTGTACACTATAGAATAAGTGCCCTCTGGCGCATATTCAAGGTTCTCACAAGAAAATTCTTTGGCGCTAGATACGTGGGACAGAAAAACTTTGCGTAAGTGTACCACGTTAACCATTGAACATCCAACAACTCATCGTCAATTCTTCCCTCGGGCTGCGACACATTTCCTTGCAAATTTGTCACGAAAATTTGGTGTTGGAACACGGGGCTTCCTATTACATTTTCCTAACTATTTTAAGTTTCTCTTTACGATCCTGTACAAAGGTAATTTTTTCATGGTTCAACAACAAAACGAATCTACAACAGAATTTGAAAGCACCCGTGCTAATAAACAACTATTCGGCTCAGGCTTAGTGAAAATAATAATTATTCCACAATATTCACTAAGACTGAGGTGAGCAATTGCTTAATAACTGTTTCTTCGATTGCATGAAACAGAACCGTCGCGAATCTGCTCTATTTGCTTTGCCATTACGATGTCTTCCAAAGTCTAAGTTCTGAATTTGGAGTTATCAACCACACAGGCATGCCAAAAAAGCTCACCACAAACGCTTCAAACAAAAGCGCTTTAAAACTAACCCTTATTATCAGATCA